TTCATTTAGTCTATATGGTGTTTACAATGATTGAACAGTAAACTTTGACAGATTGAACAATCAGTGCTTCCACTGCATTTGCATGTAGTTAGAAGGCACAATTGAGAACACAAAGAGCAAAACATTTTCCTCTCTAAAAATTGGCTTCGTTTAGTCTATATGGTGTTTACAAAGATTGAAAAGTAAACTTTGACAGATTGAACAACCAGTACTTCCACTATACATGTGGCTTGAAGGCCCAAACTTTTGTCATTCGTAATGCATATATACCAGAGGGTCCGAGCTAGGAAGACTAAACAGAGACCAAAGTCAAGAAGGCCATGTAGCCTGCCCTACAAACTTCAAACTCACACTTATTACTAGTGTGTCTGGAGTGCACCTCCAGTACCTCCGTACTAGAAAACTGTACCCAAATAAAAAACTTTGTGACAATTAAGTGACCATCAAGTGACAATAGAGCACATGATAGTGATACTGACATCCCAGGTTTCAGAAAAACATGTTAATTTTCAATTCACATCACTTCCTCTTTCTCTCTCCGTTCCTCCCCTTCTCCTTTTTTGTTTTACTATCTCTCTCCCCCCTCTCTCTCTGTCTCTCTCTCTATGTCTCTCTCTTTCTCTCTCTCTCTTCCTTAATTGTGATCGAGCCTTCTCTAGGTGAGCTTAATCCCAAAGGAGCAATAATAGCACAATCAATTGTGGGGGTAATGAGAGGGAAAATCCTGAATACCCATTTTTTGATTAAGGAAATTGTTGGTTTCCTTGTCTTTGCAATGGAAAACAAAGACAGGATATGGTGTCTGCATATGGCGTCACTACCAGCAACCGATGCTCAAAACCCGCAAAAACGTTCTGTCAAACAAAATCCTGAGGGTTTAAGAAATTTCCTTGAGTTGTTCTATAAAAAAGATACTTATCCTTGGAAAGTTGATAACATGAATGTGAGTATTTGGACACACCGCTCCCTTTCAATGTCATGAACTCGATGTAGCCCATATACAATGCCATCTTGTTTGAAACTACATATACATGAACATGTACTACAAATAAGATCTTAATAAAATCTTTGATATTTTTATAAAACTAATTTTATTAAAAATCATACTGAATATATTTGATGTAAACACCATTTATGCGATGGCATTCCTAGGGTTAGTTTTTAGATACAAGCTGAAGAGAGTGTCAGAAGACAAAATATGTTTTTAAAATCTTCCAAGCTAAAAGATTGTCAGTCTAGCCCATTGATTGATATGACCACAATTACTCCAAACCCAAATCTCTATAAAATTAAACTTATTAATCAATAAGAAGTACTTCATCAAGGCCTACACAAATATATCCTTGGCCACACATGGACTTAGCAATAACATGAAGTGTATTATGTTATGTGCAATGATGTCAATGGTGTAACCTCTACAGGTATATCAATTACTTTTGGTAGTTACAATACAAGTTGAAAGATGTGAATGGCATATTATTTTATGAAAAAGACAATGTCTTTTTTAAGTACACAACTCAACTATAATATAAGGCTACAAGAATTGAGATTGTGTTAATCTAGATCACATACAGAATCATAAAGGTCAGATACTCACAGATTACAATCCAGATCAGGTAATATCAATGCCTGTCTCCTCTGACAAGAAAGGCTATTTAAGGATCACAATACAAGCCCGTGAATGCACTCAGTCTGCAACAGCAAGATGACTCACAGTCGTTCGGTGTTTCCTCTAGCTCTGCTACGTTGCAATGTCGCCTTGCAAGCTGGCCTCGAAGAGCTCAAGTGCTCGCTGGAATTAGTGCAGGCGATTTGTACACTTACTTCACTGCGTTGAATAGAAGGGTTTTCGCGACAATAGCTCCATAAATAGAGCTAGAGCGACTAAAAACAACCTTAAAATCACTGCACAGTCTTTTGTGTTATATCAATGTAGAGCACTAAAATGCAAGCAGATAATGCGATGAGGTAAAAGGCTAGATCCACTTTTTCAACAGACAACAAAACATGATTATTACGCACATGCGACTTCGCCACGCGATCAGCTGTGCGAACAAAACAAAACCCACGTGACAAGGATTCGCATCTAATTATACTTTTGACGACCAATCAACTTGCTGGAAAGCTAAAGGGGAAGTTGGACAAAGACATTGTCGCGTCGCTATTGGTCCAATATAACTGTCCTAATTAACCCATCTGCGCTTGTTGGCAAGTACGTAGTCTAGTCCAAGACTGAACTGATTTGGTATGTGGTAACTTCCACAGGAAACACTACACAAATAGACATATCTTTCGAAATTTATAATTTTGTAAAATATTTTATTACATAATTCAAGTAATCATTCTTGTCACTCTCTCGTGCAATGCTCATAATTTCTCTCTTCGGTGCGCCGTCGCTTTGGGTCCGCATTTGGTGGAGGGGGTGGAGCAGAGGCTATAATGTGCCCCCAAACTTGTTCAAGTAGGCCCTACTCCAAAAGTGCCTCTTTTTACAGAGGAAAAGAGCCCCTATTACTTTTAAAAGTATACCCCTTTCCTTGTAATAAAGTGCCACTTCTCCTTCTAATAAGTGCACCTTTTCACCAATGATAAGTGCCCCTTTTATGTTGACACCTTCCCCTTTCCTTGTTATAAATGCTCCTTTTCATCTCGAATCAGTGCCCCCTTTTTCTTCTTTTTTTTTTTAAAATCTCTGATGAGTAAACTTTTCAACTATGATAAATACCTCTTTTCATTTCGACACATGCCCCCTTTCCCTTTCTGATTAGTGCCCCCTTTTCCCTTTTTCCATATTACAGCTACTTTTTTCTTTCCACCAAAAGTCGCTCGCAATTATAGTTGATATAATTATTGTGTTACTTATGAAAGTTCTTTTTTGTCTTTAATGATTAAATTAGGCTTAAAACCTATCAGGATTTGTATTTTTGTTGGGGTCTCTTTTATATAAGTTGAACATTTTGCTGCGACCCCACAAATCGGGGACTGATGGGTCATCGGTGTTCTAAAAAAGTCGATAGATTTTCCAATTAGGCCCAAGCCGAACTGACATTGTCGGTCACACGTTTATCCAAACTAAATATTATTTTCTTTATGATCTAATTGTTTCGGTTTAGTTTTCCTATGAGTTTCACAGGTATAGTTGCCCAGATCTGTAGAAAAAGATGATTGTCATTTGATCGATGGACTAATAATATACACTGCATATTCAATATTATTCCGTTGACAATCTATACGGCTGACACAACAACGTGGCCATCATCATTGTTTCATTTGCCGTTTTCCTCGGAAGTGGAAAGATTCAATCGAAAGGGACTTTTGAAGTAGAAGAAGCAGGAGGGGCTGGAGGAGGAGGAGGAGGAGGAGGAGGAGGAGGAGGAGGAGGAGGAGGAGGAGGAGGAGGAGGAGGAGGAGGAGGAGGAGGAAGAGGAGGAGGAGGAGGAGGAGGAGGAGGAGGAGGAGGAGGAGGAGGGAATGAGAAGTAGGAGGCGGAGGGAGAGGAGGATGATAGTAATAATGTTGATCTTGATGATGGTGATGGTGATGATGAAGATGATGTTGATAACAATAATAGTAATAAAAAATGGAAATGATAATAATAACTTTATCATAATAATAATTAAAATAATAATAATGATAATGATAATAATCAAAGTAATAATAATGATATTTATGATTGTAATTATAATAATAATAATAAGAAGAAGATGAATAGAAGGAGGAGAATCATAGTAGGAAGGAGAAAGAGGGAGGCGGAGGAGCAAAGAGGGGGAAGCACGAGTTATATGAGTTGAAGGAGAGACTGAATAATTATGTCAGACTCCAATTACGTATATAGCCGAGGAAAGAGAAGAGCACAAGAAAATAGCAAGATGTTCCACATAAACAGGTTAAGAGAAACTATGATGAAAGGAGGAAGGAAGAGAGAGGGAGAGGAGGAGAGGAGAAGAAGACAAAGAAGAAAAAGAAGAAGAAGAAGAAAAAGAAGAAGAAGAAGAAGACGACGACGAAGAAGAATAAGGAAAAAAAAGAAGAAGGAGAAGGAGAAGGAAAAGAAGAAGAAGAAGAAGAAAAAGAAGAAGAAACGGAAAAATAAGTGGAAGACGAACAAGAAAAAAGTGTATGTAGATGGAGAATCATTGTTTGAGAAGAAAGCAAGAGAGAATAAACCGGACGGCATAGGGTAGGAAAAGAGATAGAGAAACGGGGATACCTTTATCCAGCTACAAATTATTATAGTTTAATTTCCTTGAGCTAAAATGGCGTTGAATAAGTAACTCAACGTTTATATTATGATTTTTTAAATAATGATTTCATTTACATAGTATAAGCCTATAGTGACCTTCTTGACATGATTGATGAAAAAAAAACAAAAAAAAACTATCCAGACATTAAGGGAAGTTTCAGTGTGATTGTATAATGTGATGGCATCATTTATATAATTATATTTATGTGTAGAGGTGCCCTGATATATAGTGAAATCGTCGACGGACTGTACAGTAGATCACGAGCTTCGCGGTTCAAAATCCGGTTCAAAATACATTGGCCTATGTTTATTTATTAAGGTTAAGAATCTAAGTATTCAGATAAATATAATTCATCTACATTACATTAAACAAAACAAAATTCCTTTTAGACTGGAGTGACAACTTTACTAGGAATTGATCTAATTGGTAAGGAGAATGAAATTTTGCAGAACGATAAAAATGTATACAAAAATTAAAGAAAAAGTATTTGGGATGGGGGTTGAGTGGAGTTCAAAGAGGGATGTAATGATCCTCAGAAATAACACAACGTAGCTCTAAAGAAAATTAGATAAAAAACGAAACAATTTGTAGTAACAATTTGTATAAATTTGTATAAATATTTGTATAATAAACTTCATCGCAGACGAAATATGTATGACATTTAGGACTGTGTGAAAGACTTGTTGTTTGAAATATTTTGTAAGCTTCAAACATTTTGGCATAACAATAGAGGGCGCGCTCCTAGAAACGCAAAATTCCTGGGATTGCTACCGACGCTTTTGAAAGAAGTGGATCTTTGTTTACCAATAACGGCGATAATTTAAACTGAATATAAAGAAGGCGGCGTGTCTTTGTGATGGTTTGGCAAACTTATAATGGTAAGATACTGTGCAGAATTTATAAATCAGAAATGAACTGAAAAATAATCAAATAAACTGCTTGAATTATGTGTCGCTGTGATGTGAGCCGTTTGCCAAATGTGTGCGTGCGGGCCCGATGCGTCCTGGCTGGGCTAGGCTAGGCGGCCCTGCCAGCGTCGAGTGTGGATTGTTGCGTGTGATTAAGACGAGGCCTAGCAAATTATATGAAATGCAAATGGTTGTTGGAGGATTCACATTCAATCCGATAACAATGTACCTAGTAACTCATCAAATATCACTATTTATGGCATTTCTCGTTGTCTACAACAACTATTGAATTCTTTGTCCAGTGGATATGGACGGGGGCAGTGCAAATCATGCAAATGGTGGTTTCCTAATCACTCTGCTAATCCTATTTCACGGTGATCAGTACAGACAGTAGGGGCGCTGGTATGAAAGTAAGGATTGCCTTCGTAAACCGCAAAAATATCGATCGTCCACATTTTTGCAGACGTTGCTATTTCCGATCTGCGTGTTGGCGATGCGAAAAACGGATTCTGCGATGATTGTCTTGATGCATTTCACATTGACTTTGTACAGAGACATAATGATCGAGCGATAGATCCTCGGGAAGACGGGCATCTCATGGAAGTAGACGGTGAACAGGGGGTATCGTATTTTATTTTGCGGAATCCATTTATTGCATCGCCAGCTCAAGGTTTGAGTACCCGAAACCAGCAGAGCGCGACGGCAATGAAAAAAAACGTCCACGAAAATGCGGACTATCCGTATTTTTAAGGACGCAATTTGTTCGCGTTTACAAGGACATCCTTGTTTATGCGGATGATCCTCATTCTCGGACCAGTGCCCCTACTGATGATGCCAGTTTCACCTGTTCATGGACTGTCAGATTAGGCTCGGCTCAGAGAAAAAAGTTTTTTGCAACCATTAACAAAATTTGCATCACTTTCAACCTTTTAATTTCTTTAAGCACAGAAATGTTTGAAAGTAGATCTATGTATTCAATTAGGCTGGGTCCACTCCCAGGCTCTAGAAATAGAACAAATTGTTCGCATTGATTTGTTTCTTTCTCTTTTGTGCAGATTTGTTAGAACACTTCAATCATCAGCTGTCCATAGGACCATGAGTGTGAACATGCCCTTCATGCCTTCACCGCGAGGGGGGCTACCCCACCATGGCTACACCAATGGCTATGCAGGGGGTAGCGGGGCACAGCCCCATGTGGCCGTGGGCTCAGTGCCTGGCAGTGGGATGCAGGGGTTTATGTTCAGGAGCCGCAATGAGAGGATCGATTGGAAGAAAATCGGTGAGTTTGATTATTAATGAATATGTTTGTGAAAGCATTTCTTTTGGGAGCTCTATGAGTATCACTGATGTTATCTATGAAAATCTTGACCCCATCCCCACACAGCATAGTTGCAGGTCTTTTAACTACAGAAGTGTGGATAAGCATGGGTATGGTCAAGGATACATGTAGACCTTCTTCTTCGGTAGAAGTACAGACCACCATGTAGAAGTACAGACCACCATGTTGTCTGTGTATCTTCGTACATAAGGAAGGGGGAAATGAGGGTTTTCATCTACAAAACATAAAATTGTAACCAAGTATATTTTAAAAGATTATGAATCGGATCTTTGGAAAATTTAAAGTAAATTCAATTATAATACGTACATTGATATTCATTACACCTGCTGCAGTGAATTACATATTAGAGCTTATATCATATCAATTAAGGCTGCGACGGGTAGTCGAATGCTCGAGTACCCGCACGGTTGACAACTACTCGGGTACGATTTCTTGTACCCGAATATTCGGCCGCAAAAAAAAAAAAAATTAAAAAAAAAAAAAAAATGTCCAGGCCCACGCTTACCCGTGCCAGGGAGAGCGGCGTCCGCTGGCATGGTACCGTCGGTAAAAATGTTTCCCAACTCAAGCACTGTCAAACTCACCTTTCAGAAACTGGGACCAAATGTCCAGATTTCTGTTTGGACTTGGAGGAAAATGGATTATTCTGCAATCTTTGGTTTTTAAAACAGCATTATTTACTGTTATTATTCTTATTAAATCGGCACCTTCAACTGCAACTCAAAGTAAAGTTGCATGCGTTTTCAGCGAGGGACCTGAGAAACTGCCGAGTGGTATGGTAGTGGCAAAAAAAGAATAAAAAGGAAACAAATCCAAAAATTAAAAAATTAAAAAAAAATCAAAAAAATTCAAAAAAATTCAAAAAAATTCAAAAAAATTCAAAAAAATTCAAAAAAATTATAAAAAAACATGGCGTCCGAATATTCGAGTATTCGCCTGTGAACCTGGGAGTGTACTCGGGTACCTCATTACACTGTTTTGCACAGCCCTAATATCAATCTACACCTCTAGAAAATGAAATCATATTCAATTAGATGATGCCTTCATTAAAAAATTAGGAGAATATTGGTTTAAAAAAAAAATACGAGTGTTGCCTTTTGCTCAATCCAGCCTCCATCGACGTGGATCGCATCATGAGGGACTTGGACGTCAGTAGTCTTCAAGACTCCATTATGGGTATAACATTCTGCGACATCGAGAGGGAGATCGACACCAGGATGGTAGATCAGAACTTTGTGATGGTCTTCAAGCTTGCCCAACTGATTATTCAGTATCTTCTTGTAAGTATATATTTTGTCTGTCTGATTGTCTGGTACATATGTTTGTTTGTTTTTCCTGACTGCTAAGAAATCCTGTATATAATTGTTAGTAAGCAACTGGTGGACTATTTTCTTTGGATTTGTTTTACAGTTGTAAAACACTACAGCAATGAGGAAAAGATACAAAGGTTGCAAGTTTATTTGTTTTCGGTGAAGGGAATAAATGCTGTTTAAAGTGTCCGCACAAGCGCTAATAATGTCTACAAGTACAAACAGATGCTTAATTTTTTACTTGGGAATAACCAATGACCCCTCGAAAGTCAACTATTTCTAGGTATCTTTGAATTAAAACTGCCTTTCTCAAGGGCAAAATTAAGGTTGGTAGAAGCTCCAAAAATTACATTATAGATTACTAAAGTTTAGCATTAAAGCCCCACTTCACTACTTATAGCTACTTGCGCCCTCTATATAGCAAACAATGCCTAATCAGTGTCTGTTGGTCCCCTATGATCCCCTTTTTCTTATGTTAATTGAGAGCTGATTTGGTGAGATAACCATCTGTCTGTGACCTTGCAGGGAGGTCTAATCCCTCCTGGCCAAACTAGTGCAGACAGGCTTTAATATTCTTATTCTTTTTTTGTCTTCTTCACTTCAAAAGCATTCTCAGGAGGTTATGGCCCACAACACCAGCGTAGCGGAGGAGAGGGTCCAGCAGTTCCACGTTGACCACGAGGCGACACGGATGGAGCTGTCCCAGGTAGGGGAGGAGCTCCAGAAGGTCAAACAGGAGTCGCACAAGAGAAAGAAGCTTTTGAAAAACCAGCAAAGCCTCATCCAAGCCACAGCAAATAATTATCACAAGGTAATTATAAGTATTTATCTAAATTTTTGGAGCAAATATGAAAAAATGCACCTTCTAATTTCACTTTTCCATAGACGCCTGTACAAAATCTAGCAAACAAATTCTTTTTTCTCTCCAGTTACAAAAATGGATTTAGCTCCTTTTGGAATTAAACTCTTCATTATATTGATTTAACATGAAAGGAAATAGTGTTTTTCATAACTATACGTAGACTTTTGTCGCATAACGTACACAAAAAATATCATAGTGGCACAGCAAAGGAGACATCCATAATTTAGGCGGAAATCAAATTACTCGCAACTGCAGGACATTAAAAAAAAAAATATTTTGAGGAAAACTGGAGTATAACATAAATGATGTTATCAAGACTTTCTATGAAGACTTTCTTCAACCTAGCATGCTGTTATCTCAAAATTGAAAACTTGTGTCTCTCTCCATCTCTCCCCTTCCTCTCTCTTTCTCTCTCTCTCTCTAGTCTCTATTTCACTTTCTTTCTTCCCCTATCCTCTCTTTCTTTAATGTCTGTGATATCTAACTATCTTGAGTCTCTTTTAGCAAAACTACAGAGTATATACCGCTAGAAGGCTCTTACCAACCTTGTATAACTAGTCAAACTTTTGTCCAAAGCACAAGATATTGAAATAATATACTACAGTGTTTAGCCTACTTTTTGCAAAAAGTAAAAGACTTTTCTTGTTGGATTAAAACCCTTCATGCAAATAATAATTCATTTTATTTTGACTACAGTGTATGTACTGCCAGAAGGCTTTCTTCAACATAGCCTACCTCCAATCCCACATGCAACGCAAGCATCCAGAGTTTACACCGAGACCTCCACAAGTTGATGACAACATCACTGCCAGAAAGGTAAGCTTAAAGTAGTCACCTGAAGAAAATTCACGACAACTGATAATTATGGACAAATTATGTATGGATGGAAAGATTAGAATTTTTAATTAAATGTGATTTAAGCAGGTAGGTATATCCTGTTCAGTTTTATGCCTCTGCCCCGAAGATGATGCCGGAGGCATTATGTTTTTAGGTTGTCCATCCGTTTCTCTTTTCATTATCACGATAACTCGAGACCCGTTCAACAGATTTTAATGAAACATAGATCGAGCATGTCAGAACAACCAACAAATTTAGATTAGATTTTGGGTGTAAGAGGTCAAAGGTAAAAAGTTCATGCCAGAAAATGTCTTGTTCCTGTGGTAACTTGAAAAGCATTGAAGCAATTCAAACCAAACTTGGATGAAGTATGTATTCATTGTTATACAATGTTAGTTGTATAGTAACACACTTCTAGTGAAATGTGCAGAAGTGAGAACTGCACACAAGGCAGAGGCATAATTGTCGACTGCGCCTGTCGAAAAGCTCTTTTAAAGATAATTCAATTTGAATGATACATCTCTGTATTTCTGTAGATGAATGAAGTTAGTGAGAAACTTGAGAAAGAGCTAGATGAGCTTAGGGACAGATTGAAGTTCTCAGAGTCGCAAGTAGCAGAGGAGAGAGAAAGAGCACAAGAACAGATCAAGATGGCGCTTCAACAAAAACAGGTAAGAACAGAATAAAGAAAACATGAAAATAACAGGGGGAGGGGGAAAAAAGGGGGAGGAAGAGGGGGCAGGAGGTAGATTAGATGAGTCGAGGGAGAACTCGAAGTTCTGAGTCGCAGGAAGAAGAGGAGAGAGAAGGAGCTCAAGATCAAATCAAGATGGCACTTCAATGAAAACTGGTTTAAATTAAATAAAGAAACAATGAGAAAATATGGGAGAGAGGGATGGAGGGGGGGGGGGGGGGGAAGAGAGAATTACGAGGAAGAGGAAGAGGAGGGGAAGGAGCAGAGGAAGAAAAGGAGTAGGCCGGAGGAAGAGGAAGGGGAGGGGATAGGCATGAGGAGTAGGAGAAGAAGTAGGAGGTTTCAAATGGATATTGACGGATGTTGTGCAGATTATTGTGGAAATGATGTGATTGCTACACCATGTGAACCTTGCTTTGTCAATTCTCCCTTTAACTTTGAATTAATTTGTATATTGTTATCTGAATAGAACCAAGGAGAGGCAGAGAAACAAGAAGAACATCACAGGAAGGAATTGGAGAGGTGGAAACATGAACAGCTGAGTTTTCAAAAGGTAAATACTGTTTAACATGCAGGTGATTTTATATGAATTCTCAACATTGCCTCTGTGACCTGTCAGTGTCAGGTTATTGATATATTCTCTTTTTCTCTCACTCTCTCTTTTAATTTTTTTCTGCGTATACACTGTAGTCATTAATTTGTTATCAAACAATAATAAAGTTAAAAGAAAAATATATTTTTTTTAATTGATTTTGAAAAAAAAAAAATGAAATGAAATTGAATGAAGCCAATCAACACATCTTGTAATGTACAAGGTTCAACTCACTACATACATGGAGAGTTCTCTGTAGAAGACATCATGGAATTGAGTAAGGTCAAAGCTTTTGTAAGTATGGCCTCTAATTGACCCTTCTGTAACATTGAAAATCCATCTGTGAAAAAGACTTTCCAAAAAAGTTGCATTCACTTCACACTTCAGCCCTATTTTTGTCTCTTCTTTTGGTATTGTTGTTGTAACAGATGAATCACTTTTGGCAAGTGAATTTTGATTTTAAGGTGAAAATCTGATAGCTATTGGTTGGTTTTATGTTTGTGGGGATTTGATTTGTAATGTGGGCCCTTTGTACTGAATTTGTGTGATGAACTGTGTATGGAATTTCAAGTTAAAATTTTAGAATTTTTAATTTTCTATAAAACATTTCAAACATTTATCTATTTGTTGTTGTTGTTATTAGTATTTTCTGTAGGGGGATTTGCTTTGATCTTTTTGCTTTCAAAGTTTGAAGCACATGTCAATATAATTTGATACTTGTTAAAACTAATTTGAAAGATCTTTGAAATATGATGAGTTTTTGCTATGATGTGTTTGGGGATTTTCAGGGAATAAGTGAATACATAATGCAGATATGTAGTGAAAACTAATCTTCGCAGTCCTTTTTTGTTGTTGTTATTGATAAACACACAGTAAAGCAATCAATTATTCACACCCTTACCAAATTTAGTAATTTTTAAGTATGTAAAAAATTGAAATGTCCTGATTTATGTGTCTTGATAATTTGACATATTAAAGCTTACATCTAAAAGTATTCAACAACAGCCTTAATTCAACCAGTTCCTTTCATTAAACAAACACACACATAAAAACATCAAATTTACAAGGGGTACATGAAGGAATGTCTTAGGAATAACTTAGTTGTTAACTGTATGATCATATCATTGTCTTTTATTCATGATTCAGGTTGAAATGGAAAAGATGCAGAACATGTTCATGAAGGAGCTAAAAGAGATGCATGATAAATACACGTCTTCCCAAACTGCTCTGGAGAATATCCAGTCAAAACTAGGTAAGCACTAGAATTTACTCGTACATCTACTTCTCCAAGAAAATAACATTTATAAGTAATTTGGACAATAAATGCACAATCTTTTTGTTTATCAGTGAATTACTCTGTGATAACTTATGTCATGATGATCAAAGGAAGATATCCAGTCAAACACTGCTGCTGCTAGTGTAATTTCTTATTTTTGAAGGCATACCGTGCTAAAAATTCCTAATTCTTATTTTCAAATGTTGGCAGGTATGTATGTCCTGGTGATATTAAGGTCCAGAAACGATTATCATATTGTAATGCAGAGTAATATGTAAAATTGCAAGATGTTGTGAGCATTCCCATAGAAATAAAGGTCCAGTAGTCTGTGAATTGAAGTGATATACCAGTCGCAACACTGGCCTCCGACTTGTACATACATTGTATGTAGTCAATTCAGTTTTATCTCTGACTAGAAGGCTTAAAATTCCTTGTAGTCTTTAAATTGCCATTTCATGTGGCCCTTTGGGATGTCAGTCAGATACAATTTACATTTGTTTTTATTTTATATACATGTACAATCCTTTTGCAATTCCTGTCATAATCAAGTTCCGTAGTGACATAAGGCATCTTGTGACTGAACGATGACCCTGTGTGTGTGAGTGTGGGTGTAATTGGGTTTTTACAGACGTGTATCAATCAGATATGATCATTACATCTGAGGACCGACCTTAGACATCACTATCCAAGGGACGTGACTCAATTTCAAACCGGGGTCTGCCTGAGTCAGTTTGTAGGCGAAGACAGAGAGCTGACTAAGTGAACGTACCGCTAGACCAAATCACATCTCCCTGCGTGTGTGTGTGTAATTTGGTTTTTACAGACATGTATCAGTCATCTCCCTGTGCATTTATTTCATGCATAATTAAATCTTTAGATTAATTTATTGTATAATTGATTGTTGTAAAGCGCATAGAGAATTTATTATTATGCGCTATATAAAAATTACTTTATTATTATTATTATTATTTATTGATTTTGTTTGTACCCGTAGGCAAGCAATCTATGCTGGGTAAGATTGTGGATGAGGATGAACTGGAAGAGTACAAGCGTCGGAGTAAGAAACAAGAGAAGGAGATGGGCAAGTTAAAAGAGGAACTCCAAACAGAGGTTAGTATCTCCAAAAGAATCAAAAGCAATTTCAGTGATTAAAGAAAGAGAGAGTGAGAGAAGATGAAGTCTAGAGGAGGAAAGTTAAAAGGATAAAGTAATAAGTAAGAAACAAGTGACGGACACTGAGAAAGGGAGGGAAGAAGGGAAGAGGAAGAGAAAGAGGGAGAGAGAGAGTGAGAGATGAGAGAGAGATAAGAGAGGGAGAGAGATAAGAGAGGGAGAGAGATAAGAGAGGGAGAGAGATAAAAGAGGGAGAGAGATAAGAGAGAGAGAGAGAGAGAAAGAGAGAGAAAGAGAGAGAGAGAGAGAGAGAAAAAAAAAGAGAGATAAGAGAGAAAGAGAGAGAGAGAGAGAGAAAGAGAGAGAGATAAAGAGGGAGAGAGATAAGAGAGGGAGAGAGATAAGAGAGAGAGAGAAAGAGAGAAAGAGAGAGAGAGAGAGAGAGAGAGAGAGAGAGGAGGGAGATAATTCACCACCACCTGATTATGGCATTGGTTATTATTTTTAGTGAAAAACTTCATTCAAAGATATCTTAATTGTTTCATACCCCCTCTTTTTCAATAGATTTCAACGGTCCAAACCCAGATGGCGACCGACCTGAAGAGGAAAGAGGAGGAATGGAGGAAGAAGCAGAAGGAGCTGAGATCGTCCTACAAGGAAGAAGTGAAGGAGCTGAAGGCGCTGCTCAAACAGACCAAGGAGCTCCTGGAGATAGAGAGAGAAGGAGGAGACAAGAAGGGAGCCAAGTATCAGAAACAGCTCCAGGACCTCTTGAAGGTGAGTTTCTTAAAGCCTCTCTGCACTAGTTAGACCAGGAGGGATTAGACCTCCCAGCGTGGTCACTGGCAGGTGGTTATCTCATCAAATCAGCTCTCAATTAACATAAGAAAACAGGGACCATTGGGGATCAATGGGTACCGCTTAGGCATTGTTTGCTATATAGAGGCGCAAGTAGCTATAAGAAGTGTAGTAGTCTTTAAACTTTAACCTTGAGAGCAAAATACTCTAGAGGAAAGCAGAAAAATCTGAGAATTAGACTGGTGAAAGTTTGATTGGAATTGGACAAAACTTAGAAAGTTGTGAAGCTTTTAAAGATGCAATCACTATAGGGTATGGGCTCTTTAAATTGCCTAAATTGGTATTGTCAGACAACTTTTTTTCTGATGATGGTAAAAGTCAGTAGCAAATCCTGCCCCAAAATCGGAACGGTAGAATACATGCTTGAACCAAACACATGGCACAGAAAAGGGAATTATTTATTGTAATCGTAATATCAACATGGAAGATAACTTAATCCTCCACAATGAAACAATGCTGCTTTTTAAGTTTATAATGATTGTTTATATACCGTACCTGCTGGCACAAAAGGGACCTTCTATTATTATCATTATTGATTGAGGAAAAGCAATATTTTCTTGTGCAGATGTGTATGAATTACATGTTCGACCACGAGGAACTTGTGTGTCATGAAAAAGTTTTCTAAACTTGATATCATCTTCTTCTTTCTGTTTTCATTAGAAAAATAAGGACTTTGAAAGACAGCTCAAAGGCAAGGAGGAAAAGATAAAAGAGCTGAAGGTCAAGTCTGTAAGTAGTCAAATGAATTTCCAGAAGATACATGTGTACATGTAGGTTTCAACTTTTAACTTCATTAAAGGGGGAAGGGGGGGGGGGGGGTGTTAGCAATTGTATTTGCAGTAAAGTTAATTTATGGATCTTTGTTATAGTTCTGTCACCATTTCAGGACTAGAAGTGAACTTTAGATCTATTGGATTTGAAATTAGGTGACATATCAAATGATAAGGTCCCTCATCACTATTTTATAAAACAAATGATACACATCATATGTTCAGACAGTTGCATAATTTTCCATGCTTTGTACCTCTGAAACGGTTCAAATACCAGAGATTATTCAAAGGTACCATGTGAGGATAAATCTTACTATGCTCACATCACTGATGTATATTATGTGCTTCCTACCACGAAGTAATATTGATGTAAACACGTTGACCTTTCTTCACATACCCCCCCCCCTCTCCCTCCCCCTCTCCCTCCTGCTCTCTTCCCCCTCAGTCCAAACACTACGAGGTAGTCGAACCCCGGTCTTCCCCTCCGTCTAGGATGACGATACCTACCCCCTCCCAGATGGAACCCGCATCTGACGAAGAGGACACAGACCAGGGTAAGATCACCCCTCACATCTCAAAACAATTTCTTCTAATTTTTTCTGTTGCTTGAATCGTTATTTCTGATTAGTGTTTGTACAGTATCTGCATGGCTTGAAGCTTTCGTACATCAGGCATTGTTTCACAAGTGGGAACATGCAAAGTTAGGACTTACAGTATCCGGCTTAATGTATCAGGGCTTTAGTTGTGACTTATATATGTTTACGTTCCTTAGCATGCAGTGCTCTGTCGAATTTCTCTAGCATTGTTGTTGCATTTTGGCCTGTTCACTTTGTTAGGAATGTGCATGTTATCTCTTACATTGCAGTGTACCTGATGTTAAGTTTGTTCTATTTTATTGTTGTTATTATCATTTTGTAATTTGATAGTTGGGTTTCATTACCTATATGGTGACCACTAATGTCTGGTTTTTTTTCTTCTTCTTTCACATATAAGGCACAAATTGATCATAAAATTCTTACCAGTTCATAAAAGTTTAACTTATTTTTTTTTTTCATAGTGATGGCCCTGCAAAAAGGAACTAGGTTTTGCTAGTAATGCTGTATAGTTGCAAAGAGGAACTCAGTTTAGGCTCTGTTTTGTAGAAGTTTACACAGTAAAACTTGTTCTGCTTGTACATCTTGACTTTTGTGATATAGATATTATATAGTCATTGCGCACTTTATAGATAGGCAGCATACTCGTGTAAACCATGATTTTTGTGTCACATTACCGTGTAAATGCACATTCATATCACCTCATAAAAGATCTAATTTCACACATTTTCAATGCTAAGGTTAAAAATCATGATAAAATTATCTACAAACTTAATACATGCTTAATGCAAAATTACCACCATCTACCAATCTGTTAGCAGACATATCACCATTTATCTCTGATTTTTAAAACTTTAATTTTGATTAAGTAATAGCACTGCATTTCATATTTTACATGACACACACAAGTCCATTGTACGCATTACAACACAGATCATTCACTGTTGTAAGCCTTCAACTTAGTTTATCGCGCTCTGTTGGTATTGACTCTTTAATTCTTGTTTAATTTATTCACTATTGTATTTATTTGATGATATAACGAGTTTCTTTGGAACTTTAAACTGAGCAGTTACGTAATATCTATCCATGTACTCTCAAAAACAGGATGATATAGTTATAGTCCTTATCTATCATCTACATTTCTTTGGTATAATAGGGAGGAAGAGTTTAGAGTTATAATCCAAATTTGCAAGTGATTCTTCAAAATTTGATTACAAGGTTCAATTCACTTGTAATCTCAAAAGTCTTTAAATTTTGGGATCGGAAGAATGACTTAAATTATAATCCACCAATATTATAAATAATTGATAACACACCCTTTCTTTAGTATTCAAACTAGATGTCTTTTAATGAAATTAATATAGGTTGATTCAAAGTTTTATGTCATGTTAATCTCAACTCATCCAACCCTCGTTTTCTGTCTATTTCAAACATTCCTGTCTACATGTACTTTCCATATTTCATGACATTGATGATGATCATAACGGTGTTGGTGTGAAACAGAGAATTCCATTGAAGGAATGGACACCTTATCACGTGTCTTGCAAGAGTCGGAATCGTGGCTGACCGGCACGCATCCGTCTTACAATCTCCCTGATTCAGGTCAGCATGGCGCCCTCTCTTGTTGTAACTTAGATAATTGAGGTAGAACTAGAATAGTGGTGGCCTTAAATAACTGGAAGGATGATTAATAAATATTTACTATAATCTGCTTACTAACTAGCAAAGCATTTTGATTAATATAGACACTGATATCATTAAACTGCAAAACCTTTAATATTGAATCTGAAGACGGATTCAAAACATAGTGACAAGAAGGTACTATGCACTAGAAATTGTAATAAAGAAGATTTGTACACTATAGCACTTGTGTTTTATGTTGTGTTCTTTTTTTAAAATATGTAGTAGGTCATATTTAAGTTTCTCTACGTGATATGTATCTGAGAGACATGTACTTGTATAAATTTATATGTCTCTTCCCTTTATTACTTTCTTTTTGGTGCTTGTTTATCTTATTGCACTATCTTAGAATACTATATATAGTGGATACCTGTATCAAACAGATATAGACATTTCAATTGTCAAATAGAAAGATTATAAAGTTGTAAGGCTTTCATCAACAATTTTCCAATTTGAAGATAATTTAATGAATTGTCAGGATTGGAGTGACACTGTCAAGTGATTTGATCGATTGCTTATACCGGTAACTGGAAAATGGAAACATAGTTACCTGTACATGTATGTGATAAAACTTGATTATTGTTTTAATTTTATCAAGAATCTCAGTCATAAATTCTCATGCGTTGGCTTTTTCAAGATTCTTGTTGGGCTTTATTCATTGCACACATTTGGAGTAAACATTTGATTTTAGAGGTCTTACCATTTTAAACTTAGACATTTAAGCATTTTTACTAACCCACTACATTTATATGAGAGCATCTCATTTACTGGAAATGGTATTTCTCATTTTACTAACAGTCCATCACCAGCATTTCAATACTAACATTTGCTCGTTACTCCACAACTTATTTGTACTCTTCCATACATACATGTGTTGCATTGGTTTAATTGGCAGTTTATACCCAAGATAAATTGTTTTAAAGAGACTGTTAATATTTCTCAAAATCTCATTTGTGAGAATTATAATGGTGTCATATTGTTTTGCTGTTTATGATGGTTTGCGTTCACAATCTATTTTCTCAAGTCATGTAACTTTTTGCAATTTGCTGTGAGGATTTGGAGCAGTCAAGCATTTGATTAAAAATGCTGTGAGGTCAAATAATCGATAAATGAGATCAGCAGTTAAAGGCAGGATTCATTTTTATTTGTTGCAGAAAAATATAAATATTCAATGACGCAAGGCATTTCTAGTCCTGTTATGATTCTCAGTGTCATTTACATGGCAGAGTAGATTGTAGGTACCGCAGATTTTAAAAATGTAATAAATGTCCTTTGGCAAGACACTTCTCTGCTTTTTACCTCTCTTGACCCAGGTGAAGTGAATGGTTGAAATTCCTGGAGTACCTTATAACAGAAATTCTTCAAAAGTGGATGAAATATCACTTTGTATTGTGCACATGAGAATATGTTTTGTGTACGAGATGCTATACTCCTATTGAATCCATCATTATTATCATTGTTATTAGTTCCACCCTTACACCATTTTTTACCAAATTATATCATAACCAACCCAAATTTGAGGGATTCTTGGTGGCATGTCATATATGAACGAACCTATATACTATATTCAGCATGTTTATTATATGTAAATCTGTAAGTCTTTAGTTGTTATATTTATTTGCTTTTGAGTGATTTTTGTTTGTATTTGGTTGCCCTCCCTCCTTTCCTTTCTCTATTCAGATATAGAGGATGATGAGCTAGATGGTATGAATGGACACGAATCACAGGATAAGCTACATACATGTGGGTAGACCCCTTCATTTTTTTCTGCAGGATGGATGTGTCAACAAGAAGTGATTGAATATACTCAAAGTTGATTACATCATTGGAATGCAAAGTCATTTGTGTACACACAGATGGTCTTTAAAAATAAAAAAAAAAACTGTTTTTTTTATATGAAGGCTTCTCGATGTTCCTTTGCACGTATATATTTGTAATCCGGTCCATATCTTCTTTGTAAATGAAAGCAATTTTGTTCTTAGCCAGCTCTGTTGCATTTATATTATTTTTAAATGTGATTTGTCAGTCAGGTATTCATTGGATACCATAATCTTTCTGATATGATCGTATTGATTTCTGTGTAAAGTTTTTTCTGCATTCATTGGTTATGCAAATGCTTGGAATGCACTATCAATCATAGAACAACTTTAATAACGATTAAACCTTTTTAAGTACCATACTGAAAAAAGTATTATGATCAGTTCATTGTAATGTTCTATTTTGCAACTTTCTGCATTGAGGAAATACATGTAAGGCAATCATTTTTTAGTGTTATTCTCTGTTTTGTTATAAACATGTATGAACATGAACATTTAATACAAAATCTGCTATTACAGGAGAAAACACATTATTATCGCAGTATAAATGTGCAAGCTATTTTTTTCTTCAAATAATTAAGCTGTGGAAATTGATTTCATATGTGTGTATTAAACCAACTATCTATTTGATTTTTCTTTGCATATTGTTAGCCAGGTTTAGTACGAAAATTTTAGGAATTTTTAGTAAATTCTTGACAATGGTAATATAGTAAGTACAACTTTAAACAAACATCAAGGTGTTTTTTTTCAGTTACAAGTAACTTGACCCTGATCCACCAAACTTCTTATCAATACAAAATGCTACTATTCTATTACAAATTTGCTCTCAGCCAATCAGATGCTATGATTTCAGTAGCTTATAACAGTTATTGCAACTTGTTATTGATAACATGTTTGATGAAACAGGGCCCTGATCAGAGCACTTTTACCGTGTAAATATCCTTGGTCATCAAAGCATTTTGTGTCTTTGTTACATTTACAGTTGCCAAGAACAAAGATCGTATCATGGCAGGATTGAAAGAAGAACTGTCAGGTGTCTTACAGAAGAATATGGAGAAGAGAGGTGTTCCAGAGGTGAGAATTTACGTTTCATATTTAAATGTTTAATTATTTTGAGAATACTAATACTTAAAAAAAAAAAAGCGATTATTATAATGTGTCAATGTGCTTTCAAAGTGTTTTTGGAACTCACCACCTTGGCTTTAGGCAGCTGTTATCTGTGCACAGTGCATATGTAAAGGAAAATATCCTGAGTTGAGAGAAACAACTGGAATAAATGCCTTATTTAAGGATATAAACCAGATGCAAGGTTTCAAAGTCCTCACCTTTTAATTGAGAGTCAAATGAATGAAGCACTATTATACTTGTACTTATATTCTACCGTAGGCTGTGGTAAGTAGATGTATAGTATGCCAGTAAACAAATATCATTAAAGTATGTACCAATCACCCAAATCACTATGTTTTATGTTGTTAGTAGTTCCATGGCTTAATACTATATTAAAAATATGAGCTTCAAATATTTTTCTCGTAAAGAGATGTTGCAGGTTTATAGATGTACGGTACTCTCAATTAACATAAGAGTGACTTGTGAGTACGCTATTCAACGACCAGTATACGCTCACATAAAATAGGCCCTGCATGGAACTCTTGTCTGACTTGGGTTCGATGTGCAGCCTTACGTTATTCTTTAATTTCTTAATACACCTTATCTGTTAGCTCATAGAAAGCCGGATGAAGGTTTTCTGAGGTCGATTTTCAAACATTTATTGCTGGTCTACGTGATCCGCCATATTCTTGAAAAATATGGCAAATCAAAATCAAATCATCTGTGTTTAACTTTAACCTTGAAGGGGATGAGAGGAATCTCGGCACAGTCCCTGGAGAACAAGATACGAGTCTTGAAGCAAGAGCGCCAGCAGCTGGCCAAACAGCACAGCAAGTTCTACGACATCCGAGAGCGCTTCAAGAGGGAGATAGATCGCAAGGCAGCAGAGATGAGGCGGAGTGGATCGCCTGTAGGCAAGGCTGGCCGTTCAGGTGAATACCGTGATTTGTACATGTCATACGTTGAAAACCATAGGAGTGTCCGGCATCAGTAATAACCAGTAATAAATCTTTTTGAGACATTCGAAGATTAGAAAATACTTCAGTAAACGATGAAGGAGACACTTTAATTTTAATATGGAACATGTAAGTCTTTCCATTTCGCACTTTTGTTTAGATATGAACCCTTTTAAGGGTTTTCCATTTTGCATTATATTCAATTAGACTTGCATTTGTCCTTTTGTCACTCCAACAGCATCGCCTCAACCTCGACTGAAGGCAGTCACTCCCCCTCCTCGATCTCATAAGGTATCCTCAAAGGGCAAACCAACGGGAAAACAGCAACAGCAGCAAAGGAATCAGCAACAGCAGAGACAGCAACCGAAGCAGCAGCAACCGAAGCAGCGGCCCCAGTCAGCGGTCAAGGGGCTATCCCCAGGCCAGGTCAGGTCAGGGCCACCATTAGCCCCTAGGAGCCCCGCCCTGAATGATCGGCGGAGCAGGGGTGTGTCTTCCAAGGGGCGAGCCAACACCCCCAAATCTAATGTTAGAGTGTGAGTGTTTTCTGCTTGTTTTCTGAGATGTTCATTTGTAATTTATTAACATAGAGTAAGAGATTTTATCTTCACTTATTGAATTCACCAATTATCAATTACAATATGCTATTTACTGCCATCACATTGCCTTGTACATTTGGTATTTTCCTTCCAGGTAGTAATTTAGTTTTATTCACACATTTGAAGGGTATTGTGGAAAATGTATGTGGAAGATTTTGTTACTATTTATCATGAAATAACATGAGTAGAAATCTATTGCTTTTATTCAGAAAAATTTGATTTGAAATGATGTGTTGTGATTACAATGCATGTATACTATAAATGCTTGGGGAATTACTGGTATTTTTAATGTGACAATGAACAGTACACACCATACTCGGAAGAATAGGGCATGAGTAGGGGTATTGATATGTTGCAAGAAATACAGCATTTGCCCTTAATACACCTTCTTTGTGTAATTTATGCAACATGTTCAGTTTTCTTTTACATATCCATAGAACTAGTCAAAACACAGATGAATACATATCGGTTTATTCTAAAATTTGACTTTCAGTTTCACTACCCGAAGATTATCTGTTGAGCTTTTTTTTATGTAACTTATATGTTCATAATTGTCGCATCTTGATAAAAAAGTTTCGAATTTGTGAGCGACTGCGATTTATATATCGTTATTATTATTATACGTATTTGAATAAGTCTATATTGTTATCGATCAAATAATATCCCCATATATGATTCTGATTTTGTATATCTAGATCATTTGAAGATGAAAGCGAAGAAGACGATGAGGAGGAAGATGAGAGTGAAGAGGAGGAGGAAAGTGAAAGTTTTGATGATGAATCAGAACCGGAAGAACACTACAAGACTCCTAATGTCCCACCCAGACCGGCAGCCCACAACCAGCCCGCTACCAATGGGTTTCATCATCGCAATACAGAGGTAAATAAATGCAATTATATAGTGTGACCTCTGACCCTAAATTCAAGCACAGAAATAAATAAACAAACAAACAAACAAACAACTTATTAGATAGACAGAAAGACAGACAGAAAGAAAGAGGGAGGGAGGGAGGGAGGGAGGGAGGGAGGGAGGGAGGGAGGGAGGGAGGGAGAGAGAGAGAGAGAAAGAAAGAAAGAAAAAAGTAAGTAAGAAACATAGCAAGAAGGAAAGAAAAAAAGACGAATTGACGATGAAAGGAAAAAATACACCTACAAGAATGTCCATATATTGTGTGCAGGCAAGCCTGAATCTTATGACCGCTGTAATGATATATATCTGTAAAGTGCTTAGAGACCTTGTTGATGTATTAAGCACTATATAGATGCAGAATATTATTATTGTTATCCTACTTTTAAAATGTTTTTATCTATTTATTTAGGGTGATGATGATGAGGAGGAGGATAGTGAATGGGATTCTGAAGAGATCAGTGACCTAGACGAAGCCAGGCCGAAACCAGCTCCAGCTCCAGCAGCCAGACCTATCACTTCGGTTCGTCAGCCTCAGGTAAGATACTTATCCCAAAGATCAAGATCACCATTGGTTATATTATAAAAAAAAGACAAAACAAAAGACTTGACAAAAGTCCAGAGACTACCATTAAAGCCTCACTGTACTACTTTTAGCTACTTGCTCCCTCTATAGAGAAAACAATGCCTAATCGGTGCCTGTTGGTCCCCCATGATCCCCTTTTTCTTATGTTAATTGAGAGCTGATTAGAGGAGATAACCACCTGTCAGTGACCTTGCAGGGAGGTCTAATCCCCCCTGGCCAAACTAGTACAGACGGGCTTAAATTAGATTTTGCTGTGTTTTTTTCTTCTTAGTAGTTTCACCAGTTTCATTCAAAATTTTCCACACAAGAAAAATTGGAAATGTGAAACATTTCTTTATTCATGAAATCATATCTAAAGATCAAACCCATGATTGAAATCTCTTCCTTCATTTTGACATCCAGGGCCAAATGGTGTCCAGCTTGACCAGGAGCATCGAGCTACAGCTGAGTGGGCGTCAAAAGGGCCGGAAGCCTGTAGGGGGTGTGGACTTGGGTGCCGGTAGCGCCAAGCCCCCTCAGCCAGCACCCAGGACCCCTTCGCCATCCCCTACCCCAAGGATACCGGTATGTTAAAAGTTTTAGTTTATCAAATCTGAAATGCATGGCTGACGTGTTATCAGTGTCTGCAATATGGTGTAATATTGAAGCCCTAACAAAATTGCACTTTAAAATGACCATGAAGTTGCTTTAAAAAAGTAAAAAAATCTTTGAGTGACCAATGTTACCATACTCAGAGTCCAAACAAAAATTTGGACAAAGGCTATAGTTTGGTTATAGTTTCTGAGTGGTGAGTCGATATCCCGTGTGTGAGTGAGCTGGGACCATGCCGGCACAGTGCTACTGCACTGCTAGGTGAAGTTGCATAAATCGAGACTTTAAATAGTAGATCCTATTCTTTATTCGTATTATGTTATTTATATTGAGACCCAGATATGGTTAAAAACCACTAAAAAGTAGCATTTTGAGGACTCAAAATACCCTGTACCTGTCTATAAGATGCACCCCTGACTTTCAAATTTTTCCGGCGGAAATAAAGTGTGTCTTATACACAGAGATTTACGGTAATCATCATCATTATTATTATTATTATTATTTTCAATCCTTTCTAACTTTCCTCCAGACGATCCCTGATGCCGGTCTTGATGATGAGTTTGATGATTCTGGAAGCCTCTCTGTATCCTCCTTGGGTGATAGCTTCTCAGGTTCTGCACAGAAAGCAACCAGCCCTACCCCAGCGTGAGTTTCTCAGCATATCTGGGGGGTGTTTCACAAAGATCCTAAGTCGAACTTAACTCTTAAGTTGGACTTAACAATTATGGAGAGCCATTTGTAGCCTTAAAAAAGAATATATTCTCAAGCGAAAAATAAAGTATTTAAAACTTTTTATTAATTCCACATCGAGAACATGAAATCTCCTTGATAATAGAAAATATGAATGATTTCAATCAACATTTTATGCCTTTTAAAATAACTTTAACAAAATATTGTCAAAGATGCTAATGGCTTTCCATAACTGTTAAGTCAAATTTAGAGATCAGGGGCCGTTTCTCGAAACCAACTCCATGACAGTCATATCTTTGTCGCCGACCTGCGGAGATGTCATGAAGTGGATAAACCGTTTCACAAAGCCATGACAGACATGATATCGATATATCGCGATACTAGCAGCTCAAGAAGATAGTCTTTGTCACGATCCATTTGATTTATGAAGAATAACCCAAATCAAGTTTTGGGGCTAAAATTGTTCAAAAAGAAATATATACAGATAAATTCTCCTAAAATAAATAATAAATAGTGTCATTATCATATTTACATCATCAAACGATTTGCATATTTCTGTAGAGATTCTTAAATTGAAGAAAAACCGGCGAGTGTTTTTTTGTTGAAAGTCGAATCAAAAGTTAGTTGAAGGATACCGTAATGTGATAGTTTATCAATACATACTTTTTTGTTTATTGTGAGGAATTTTAGGCAAAATGTCTTTTCTCAGCCATTTTTTATTCTAGAGTCTCATAAATACTCGTTACTTAATTGATTTGATATTGAAAATATAATTTGGAAGAAGTAATTAGGAAATAATAATGCACATAGGCCCCTAAGGTATGACGGTATCCTAAGAAAAGACTATGGATCGACTATGGAAAACGGTGTGTAACATTCTTATCTCTCTTATTTATATGTTATAGTTTAATGATTTGTGATTTAATGTTTATATTTAGCTTTTTAAAGTTTCTGTATAATTTGTATTCTCACTTTTGTACATTTACATTTCGCATCCCAGAAAATTATGTACCAAACTCGTCTATATTTTTCTCAAAATGATAGTGAAACTAATCGTCCATTTCGCGGCCCATGGAATGGCAACAAACTGACTTGTGATGGCGCTTTACAGCAATTAAAAAGATATGACGGGTTCGGAGGAGTGACAACTCGCTTGTCGCGGAAGTTGTCGCTCATCTTGGCAAAGACGGCTTCGTGAAACACTTAGCTGACAAGTTGCGCGACAGTGGCGAGATGTCGTTGATCTTGTAGTTATGACGGTTTCGAGAAACGGCCCCCTGTTCAACTTAGGATCTTTGTGAAACACCCCCCTGATTTGATTTGATTTGATTTATTTATTTTCTCCATGTTTTTTTCTCCAAAGTTACAAACTAATTACAACATAAATCATGATTGTAAAAAAATTCTATAATTAATACATCATCAATGTTAAATACTTAGATTGTAATACTAGCATAAAATAATCATGAAGAAGGATTGCTACATAAGCTAGCTTTAACATAACACAAATGATGTTGGGGTTGGGAGTGAATGTTTTTTTCTCCAAAAGTTACAAACTAATTACAACATGAATCATGATGATAAACATATTCTATAATTGATACATCATCAGCGTTAAATACTTCCATTGTAATACTAACATAAAATAATCATGAAGAAGGATTGCCACATAAGATGAACTTGAAGGTGTGGTAATTTGTTTTTCCTTTGCTTTACAGACCAAGGACAGGCAAAAAATCCAATGATACAGACATGTCCAGCAATACGTATAACACCAGTATGTGGGGCTCATCAAAAGGTAAGGTTGCAGTGACTTGTTTTGTAAAACCATGTTTTGTGTAACCTATTTCTTGAACTATTTATATCTTTGCATATAGAGCATAATGATTTAGGTTGAAACCAGCAGATTAGAAAGGCAAGAAACACCTGTTAACTCTGCATACTTACATTGTAAGTGGAATCTGTTAGGACCGCAAAAAATAGTTCAGCTATTGCAAAATCTGACTTGGAAAGTGTATATAATACATGTTTTGCATTGTTTGGTTGAAAAAAATTATTTGATTTAACCAAAATTCAACTCATGCGACTTTGGGTCATGCAGAGTTAACTCTATTACCGAGCATTTGGCATAAGCCAGTTTCCCAAACCATTGCTCTACATCCACCAAGCCACACACTGCCTCTGCATCATATCTTTCTTTGTTTGCTTTATTTGAACAGCCAAAGGAAATGGAACCGGCACGGGGAAGAGCTCACTCGTTTCAGTGACCGACTTTGACGATGACGACGACGACTTTGACATCGACGACTTGGGCTGATAGCATGAGAGCCTGTCCCCAAAGTCCCAAATGTGTATGTTACAGGGCAAAGTCTAAGGTATTTGGTCATTTTGCCTGCAAAGTAATATACAGTTTTGAATATAGGTTGGCGTCGAATGCATTTTTTTCACTTCATATTTGGTCTGAGAAAAGCTCTCGTTAAGCTCTTGACTTATTACAATGATCAGATAAACTCTAAAATCTTAGATGAAGTCTTTGATGATGAAGTCAGTTTTGAACACAAGTTGAAGTCAGATGTATTTTTTTCACTTCCTATTTGGTTTGAAAAAAGCTCTCATTGGGCTTCTAACTTATTACAATGATCAGATATATAGATGAAGTCTGTGATGTGGGGAAAAACAGCTTGGATTTGATCTGATACTGATGATTGAGGCTCATCTTATTACTCTCCGTCATAGAATTTGTCGGTAATAATTTCACATCTACCTCAACAACAGTTCCTCTTAAACCATCCAGGGGGGTGTTTCACAAAGATCCTAAGTCGAACTTAACTCGAAGTTGGACTTTAATATTATGGAGAGCCATTTGTAGCCTTAAAATGACATATATTCAAAAGCAAAATTCAAGTATTTTAGACTTTTCATAAATTCCACCTCAAGAACATGAAATCTTCTTGATAATAGAAAATATTAATGATTTGAATTAACATTTTATGCCTTTCAAAATAACTTTTACAAAATATTTTTAAAGATGCTAACGGCTTTCTATAATTTTAAAGTCCAATTTAGAGATAGGTTCAACTTAGGATCTTTGTGAAACAACCCCCAGTTGTCTCTCTAAATGCACTTATGGAATCGGTTCATGAGTTGACCTTGAGTATGTTGATATAACAGAGTACCCAAGTAATGATATCTCACATTGATGTGGTTTGGAAGGGTGTATTTTTATACTGCAGTGTGGAATCGTTTTGGGGTTTACAAATTACAGCTGTGTTTAGAAATTATTAAATTTGAGCCACTGTAGTTTTGATCCCTGTCATGACGATGTTGTTATATTTAGAATGACTGAAGGACGTTTGACAGGAAATGTACATCAAGATCTACATGTATTCATTGCATTTCAGCAAATAAACAAGTAATTTTGTGGATAATGTGTATTGCTAATCTGTTTTTGTTTGCCAAAGGTCAATATCATTCAGTATTTGATTGTAATGCATGCAGTACATGTAAATGTTTGGACATTGACATTTTGTACGTTGCCAATTTTGTACTTGTTGAAAGTTACTAATGTAATATGCAGTATGTTATGATATAATGAAAGCTGCATTTGTAATTTTGTATTCATTTCACCTTTTTTGTGTGATAAGACATGTATTCAGTCAGAGACAGTTTTGAATTAATGACAGTTTGTCGGTAGAGAATTGCACAGAGCAGGAGCTGATGCCGTGAAGGAACGGTTTCCAGTATGTATTCATGTTTGCATGGCCTGAAGATGTGATGATGATCAAAGTGGACACGGATGAATAGAGTTTTGTCTACTTTTATTGAATGTTTGGTGAAAGGGTTTTGACTTGTGGGCATTTAAAATTTGATACTGTTCATGACAAGTTTGCTCCATGGCAAAGCGAAGTTGTAATTAAAAAAAAATATTCTGCCTTAGTTTTATTATTCAGTTTTCAACTCAGTTAAAGCAACATTCCAACTATACAGCAACCGTCCTTATTTGACGTTCATCTTGAGTACCACAGTATTCACTAATATTCTTGCCTTTTTTTATTTCAAAAAGAGCAAATATTTAAGAAAGAAAGAAAAGAAAACAGATACCAGAGGGTGAAATATAAAGTTACAGTTAATCATACTCAGTCGTTAGTCCTTTAATCAGTTGCAAAGATACATGTTCATTTACCTATCTCCCGTGCTCAGAGTTGAAATTCTTATCAAAATTGAGTTTAATCAACTCAGATCAATGTCAACTTTATGAGACTGCCCTGGAAATTCATGCAAATAATCTGTTCAATGTATTCTTTCAATAACATCAATCAACAATACTATCAATTTACATTGTCTTATGTTTTAGAACATATGTTTTCTTATGGTTGACTTATTTAATTGATACTGTACAGTATTCACAGTTTCAGGCATTAACTTGATCTGAATCAGTTGCTGGCAAGTAAACTTTATTTAAATATTTAATGCACTTAAAGGCGTAAATTACGTCTGCAAATATTTTGTTCACTTTTAGGGTTGAATGATTCTTGTTAATGGATGACTGCCATTATTTCTTGCCAAAAAATGTACAGTCCTCTCTCTTTAGCAATATGCTATAAAATTCATCCATATACAGTTTGTTAACACTCAATGTTATACTTATTAGTGCATCATTTCGAGTTGAAATTGCTTTTTTCATACAACTCTGTAATACTTTAAGAGCGTATGTTCCCCATGGGGATTAAATGTGGGGTACGGTAGGAAGTGTGTAGGGGGTAAAACCTTGGATTAGAGCCGATGACAGATGATTGGGGATTAAATTTGTTGAACCATCTCATGATCTCTGCATTTGCTTTTAAAAAATGAAAATACACATACATACTTCATACACTGTCCTTATGTTGAAGAATGCAGTTTTGCCGTTTGTTTGTTTAGAAACAATTTTGTCTCTTATTTCTTTCCTGTGGACCTAGTGATGAGTTATACCATTAAGTATTAACCTATTAATGAATGAACTACAATATTTGGAATCCAGTCTGCATACATTACTTGTTGTGATGTCGTGCAATCCTCTGGCAAGCTTAAAGGTTGTCAAGATCAACCCATCTAAAAAGTATGCTTAAAAATTTGGATCTTTGTCAGTAGACCAGCCTATTGTAAATCAGTACTGTAATGAATTTGAATTTGATACTCTATACATAAGAAGTATTGTACATGTATAAGCAGAGCTGCCAACTAGTACGGATTTTCCGTAATTGGTACGGAAATTAACGACCATTACGGAATGTTGTCTCAAATTACGGATTTAAAAAAAAATTAAAAAAAAAAGTTTTTTTTTTTTTTTTTTTTTTTTTTAATTTTTTTTTTTAATGAATTAAATATGATTTATCGTAGCGAGTGCTGTGAATAGGAGCCATTTTTCATGATAAACTGTGTTGTGATGACCTGAAATTCAATACTTAACATCTTTGTGTGAGTAAAATCACCAAAAATTTCAGATATTCATGCGTCCGCGCAGTGTTGGCGTGTCGTTTTTTTAGATTCATAGCGCCGCATAAGAAATTACTGATTTATACCCCAAATTACTGATTTTGAGCCTTGTGATTACTGATTTTCTGTTCTGGAGGTTGGCAGCTCTGTATAAGTGTTAATATGTTATACTGAGTAATGTGTACTGAAATATGTCGAGCAAGAACAAAGCGGTAATGTACTGTATGAACTTCCACAGCGATATCTGAATCTGTAGTACTGTATTAATATTTGAGGAATATATCTCATGTACTTCTACTAAATACACAAGGGTGTAAAAGGATCTTCCCTCATTATTTATTTATATATTATGATTAGACAAAAAATAGTCACAAATGAAATGAGTGACAGTCATTTTCAGGCTATGTTTGAAATTATCTGTCATATGGTGCTTTTATAGTTCTCGGTATACATTATATACCGTATTCACTTTCTGTGTTTTTGTAAGTACTAGTTAATGCTGCTTTGTATTCTTGCTGATCAACTTTGATCGATGTTATGGCACATGCTCTGGCGATGATTGCTACGTGGTCCCATTTCCTGAAGTTTGCAAAATGCCTGACTTGAACCTGTGACTATAAACGACACTCTTTTTTTTCCCATGTGCATTCATTTTGACACCTGACCCATGTATTTTTCACATTCATTTCACTAAAATTATACCAGGAATGCCAGAAAAATGTAGAGCAACAGGATTTATACTTGTATTCAGAGGATACGGTAGTAAAGATTTGATATGTCATACAGGGCATTGTTTTATAAAACTGTCATATCTTTGAGTTCGCCGATGTCCCATTGAAATGTGTGTAAACTTTAACACCTGTAGCCGATTCAATAGGATGTATGTATGTATGACGGTTTCATAGAACCCTGACGAGTAAGTTTTTTAATGATCTATTTCTGCATCTTAATCTGTTAGCTGACAATACTTTAATGCATGACCTTCTTGCGTTTGGCATTGCAAGTGAATTATCTCCTCTTATGGCATTTGCAGGGGGGTGTTTCCACAAAGATCCTAAGTTGAACTTATCTCTAAATTGGACTTAACATTTATGGAAAGCCGATAGCATCTTTGAAAATATTTTCAAAAGGTTACTTTAATAGGCATAAAATATTGATCATTCATATTTTCTATTATCAAGGAGATTTGATGTGGAATTTATAAAAAGACTAGAACACTTGAATTTTTGCTGTAATGTTTAAGTTAATCTAAGCATTCAGTTCGACTTAGGATCTTTGTGTAACACCCCCCCCCCCCAGAGTTTATAGTTAATGATATTATTATATCAGTGAGTAACAGGTTGACAGTTGGGTATAGTACAAACATTGACAATTTCTATTGTAAATATGTATAATATGTGAATTTACATTTGCAAATTTGCTTTGTATTCTGTGTAAATGTTTTTGTAAATTTGCAATAAAGACTTATACCTATATAATCACACAGTTCTCATGGTTGTGTATCCTACATGGTGTTGATTTATGCTCTACTCATGTTTGCAACATTGCCTAAAAGTAATTGTACTCCTATAATAATTTACTGGAAAATAATACTCATTTGCATTGGTTAACTCTTATTTTTAATTTTTATTCAATTCAACTTTATTTGTATGTACAATTAAATTCTGTCATAATGAGTTCCAAACTTCTAATGAGCAAAGACAAAAATTGATATAAGTAAACTTCATACACATAGTGCATGGGCATTGTTTGTAAACGAATGGAATACATCAACTAAAAGATAAGACGTTAACTAACAATATCTTCCAACAAGTATTATTTCAATACATGCAACTTAAAAAACAGGCATAAATGTAAAGACTTGGATTGAAATGCATGAAGATGATAAACAAACTACATAAGAGTGAGATTTGAATGAATTCTGTTAAAACAAATTACCCATTGTGGTCAAGGGTCAACAGGCCATAGTGCTATAATACACAATGCCTTTATAGCGTAAGTGAAACTGGATCCTTTTAACAGGTCAGTGAAAAATATATGTATTAACAAACTATTAACAAATACACAGGAGCGGTGAGCAATTTAAAATTGAAAGAAAAAAATACACCACCACCAACAACAAAAATATGGATACATAAGAATAGACGCAAGGTCTTTAGCAAATCTACAAGGAGCTGATGAGAAAATATAATTACTAAATCTCATCTTCTTATCGACTCAAATCATATCAATAAAATTTTGAGAAAATTGCACATGTGTGCACTGTAGGTCTACATGTAAACTTAAATTCTACACACCTTAAGTAGGAAACATCAATGTATGCCCAATGGAATGTGTTTTGACGTATCCCCACATTTAAACAATTAAACTAAACAGGTTAGGTTTCATTTATATTTAATATAAATTCCAGGTATAAATCACTGTCCATTGGGAATAAAAGATGTCTTAATTTTTATTATACTGTAGGCATGACCTCTGAAACAGGTTTCACTAAATTTTATTCCTTCAACAAATATTGCACATAAACAACATACCGGTCCCTGTACTTTTTAAGAGAATTTTCTTTTAATCAATACATGTACCGGTATGTAAAACAATTGACTTTGCTTACAGTAGTTAATTACCTTATTTACCTACTACAAATTGATATAAAACAATACCATAATCTGTATTTAGAAAAAGGTTACTGAATTTGTCACTATATTGACCAGTTAATAAAATCATCCCTTTTAAACTCATGTATTAGACTATAAATAAGTAAAACTACATAATAATTTAGGATATTTTGGTGTTAATAAAATCATCCCTTTTAAACTCATGTTTTAGACTATAAATAAATAAAACTACATAATAATTTGGGATATTTTGGTGTGATTTAATTACATGGAAACAAAAAGAAGAACTAAATCTTCATGAATATTCTCAGGCAATGTGGAATTTGTCTTAGTGCCTGAAAGGGTAAGAATACTAGAACCATGAACAAAGAATTGACTTCAAGGAAAACAAAAAAGAAATTTAAAGTTTGAAGAAACAATGAAAATCCAAGGAATAACTTGCCATTCCATCTATGATATGTTTTATGCTTTTAAATCAAATGTAGAAGAAGAAGAAATAAAGATCCTAGGAATAACATACCACTCTACAATATCTATATGTTTTATGCATTTAAAACAAATGTAGAAGTGCTCCATAGATATTCAACTACAAGTAAATTAAAATAAAATAACCTTCAAAATGTTCAAAGTTGCTGGCATCCACCTAATTTTCCATAAAACCACATATAGTGGTTGAGACATATGGAACAATATATCTGTTTACCAGTAAAAAGTTAACTGCATTTTAAAGTGGATTAACATGCAGTCATACTAAAACAGTGTTTTATTTTAATCTCACCATCTTACATGTACACAATTATTCAACCCATGCATCTCTGAAATAGAATATTATTTAAAGAAATATAAATCTCTTATTAAATCATTAGGAATTTCTATTAATCAAAGGCAATCTTCGGTCTTGATTTGTAGTACACATAGAAGACAATGGCACAGGCGATGAGAGCAAAGGTTGGAAGCACAACGTACAATACGTTTCTCTTATTGTCCAAGTTCTCTTGTTTTCTGGAGCGCTTCTCCTTCCTCGTTTCTTTCTGCGCTTTGCCTTTAAGTTGCCTCATGATGGATGTTCAAACAAGAAAAATGATTTGTTTCTGCGTAAGAGAGTAGAATAAAAATGAAATCCAAATTATTGTAAAGCTATATATTTGAACAGAACATTGTTCTGTATCATCCTTTCTCCCCAAAATGTCTGGAATAAATGTTATTTCTTGGCCTTAATTAGTCTGAACATGCTAACAAAAATAAAGAGACTTATTCTAAATTTCTATTTAATAAGTTCACTAAGAGTTAGAGTCTTAGTTAGTAAAAGTAGTGACTAGATCTAGTCACTCTAAGATTCTATACTTTACCTAGGATAGCTAGCGATAGAGGCAGGGCACTTGATATCTTCTGCTTTGTCCTTATTTAAGTTGAACCCTGACCTGAGAAAGAAAAGATAATTTAGAATTTCAGTCAATCAGACAAGGGGGAGGGGGGGGGGGGGGGGGGGGGGGGGGGGGGGGGGGGGGGGGGGGGTAGTGAGCAAGTTTTTTTTCAACCCCCCCCCCCCCGTGGGGAGGGGGGGGGGGTAGTGAGCAAGTTTTTTTTCAACCCCCCCCCCCCCCCCCCCCCCCCCCCCCCCCCCGTTGAGCCAAAAAGAATTGCATACGATCTCCCTCGAAGCAGTTCCCCAAAGTTGACAGCCCTGATGATATTGATATCAATATCATATTACAGCTACAATACAGCTACATACAGTCTACACCAGCATCCTCTACAAAGCCACGCCGTCCGCTGCGGCGTCTCATGGACATCAATTTCCGTCTCGACATAAAGACAAGTCCTTACGACGCGACGATTTAATTTGAATATCACTGAATTACGGGTAAACATTTACAAAACAAAAAAATGAACAATTTTTTTCGTAGATAATTGTATTAATAAAAAGCGACTTACAATCATAACTTACTTTTCGTTGAAAAAATGGCAAAATATATATATTTCTACAGGTGAGATTATGTCAGGCTGTGATACGTGGCTTCGCGTCGTGGTGTATTTTCTCTTGTGCACACAGTGTACGCGTACAGTACGTACGTCTCTATGTTTCGCTGATGCACACATGTTGAGTAAGTTTTATGTACAGCTATCTGTGCAAGAGAAGGTCAGCGAATAAATCCGTTGGTAGCGCAAGTTTTAAAGGGAAAACATTTTCAAAACAAGTCACATTTGTAAGTATTTAGTCCTAAGTATTACATTTTTGAAGTTCAAATTAAACTAAAGAAAACCGATGTATAGATGCCCTAGATAATCGATGTGTTTATATATGAGAAACGAATAAGTATAATATAGGTGTAACATTTTGATATGGAACTAAAAAGTCGTCGTTCGGTCCCATGTGTTCAAATTGATGTTTGTTGTCGTGATTGATTGGATTAATTAGAATAGACCCTAGATCTAGCATGCACGAAGAACTTCTTCCTCTTCTGATTAAGATTCTTGCAAACTTTATGTGTGAACCGCAATTTACGTCCATTCGAGTGCTATTTACATTAATACAGTTAATTTACAAATATTTACAAGCTCATGTTATAAAAAAAAGACAAAGTCATAAGTTTTGCCTTTGGCCTTTGCCAAAACTTTGCGCATTGAACAGTAGGGTCTAACTTAGATCTACAACGAGTTTACGCGCTCATCTCATTGACTGACCTGCTCGAGCGGCTTCGAATTTAAGTGCGGCCTTAATTATAATTAATAATATAATTGCTGCATGAAACTTCAAGCCATTATTTGATTGTAGACTAGGCAGTCAAATCTAGCGAACAGTATCATCTATCTAGATGCTGAACAGGCGTTGATGAGTATTACCATAAGAGTAGAAGTAGAACATGCTCTAACATTAAAAATGAAATAGAGTATATTCCTCACTGCATTTGCTTAATTAAACCTTGGCTTTATTCCTTAAAAATTGAGGCAGCTGGAGAGCTTGGCTGGCCATTAAATATGAAATAAAAACCTAAGAGTATAACAAATGCCCAAGGCTTTTTCATCAAACAGGTATTGTTGACTTGAAATTATTTACCTGTAACATTTTCTACTTTGTACTAATCTATTCTGTTCAAAATTAGCTCATGAGTTGGTTTCATCTCAAACTGAACCATGTCTGGAAGTGTCCGGCAAGGAAGCTTGACCAACAGAGGGAGTTTCAGATTGAGCCCAAATGAAGAAGCAGCTGTTTTGAAAGAGGAGAGAGACAGAAGACGGAAACTGAGATTAAAGCAGGTATTGTAAAGAAATTTTAATTTTGTTTGTCTTCCTAATCAACAATTAAATGTTTGTTTTGCTAATCCACTAATTAAAACACCAACTCATTCTTATAGTATGAGTAACGTTACCAATAAGAAGTTTTGCTCTTGGCCTACGAAAAAAAGTAAAACCAATTGAATATTCAGATAGCAGCTAAAAGTTTGAATAAACAATCAGTAAACATATTAGATATCTCTCCTCTATAAAAGCTTAAATTTATATTCAACTATATTGTTTTCTTGTGTATAGACCTACAACCATGTTTGTTATGTTTTTATGAAACAGGCCACACAAAAAGAAAGAAAGAAACACATCAAAGAACAAAAGAAAAACAGCAAGTTTATATAATTCTTTGTTTAATTAGACACCAAAGTTAGTGATCTTGGTGGAAACATCCAATATGTTGAAAGGTTAAGGTACCTGAAGGCTGAAGCACAAAAACTGTTGATTTAGCACTGACCTGTGAACTGTTTGCTCATCAGGTTCGTGAACAGGACAGGCTTTTTGCCAAGCAACTCCTCGTCAGGACCAAGGCAAAGAAGGAGGCAGAGGTCACAGCACTATCTGTCAAATTGGAAGAGGAATGGAAGGCTGTGCAGAAAGAGAAACAAGAAGCCCTGAAGGAGATCTATAAGCAGTGCCTGTCCAAGGTCGGAGATGGCCACAGAGAGGCAAAGAATCAGGTAGAATTTCACTCAATGGAAATATCCATTCAATTATTTCCTTTTGGCCTTTATTATGCCAAAATACTTAAATTATTCCTTTGCTGGTCATTTTTTTTTTTTCATGTACCTTGATATATATATATACTGTATACAGTATTATGATCTTCATTTTCATCATATGATTGCAGGGGCCTCAGGGAGAATAGTATAAATACTGACGAGGCTTCTCTTGGTATAGAAGACATTATTATTATTATATTATTTTTGTTGTTGTTATTATTGTTATTGTTATTATTTTTGTAATTATTTGTTATTGCAGAAACCATTGGATGAGGAGAGAGCAGCTGCTGCCCTGAGGAATACGAGGGCAGCAAAACAGCGTCATCAGGCGGCCATCTTGAAAGAAAGTGCAGCGAGGAATGAGAGTTGGCAGAAAGAAAATGCTCATATTATATCAAGAAAGAATGCACTCGAGGTTGAAAAGTAAGAACGCTAGATATCAAACGAAAAGTGGGGCATTGTTACCCCTTGAATCCTCAACTGGGTTACCATGGGATATCTTTTCGCATGAATAAGAAATATTTGACATTTGTGCTAATGTATTTGTTCATATTAGTTGATAAACATTGTATACGAAAGCTAGGTTTTACAAACTAAGGCTGCGATGAGTAGTCAAATACTCAAGTACTTGCACTGTTGACAACTACTCGTGTACGATTTTTCATACTCGAATAATCGGCCTCCATTTTTTTGTTTTGTTGTTGTTTTGCCCCTACCTGGCACTGTCCAGGCCGACGCTTACCCGTGCCAGGGAGAGCACGGGTAAAAATGTTTCTCAGCTCAATCACTGTCAAATCACCACTCAGAAACTCGGACCAAATGTCCGGATTTCTGTTTGGACTCTGAAGAAAATGGATTATTCTGTCATCTTTGGTTTTAAAAATTGGATTGTTTACTATTATTATTATTATTAAATCGACGCCTTCAACTGCAAATTGAAGTAAACTCGCGTGAGTTTTTGGAGACGGACCTGGGATACTTCTTCGGTAGTATGGTGGTGGCAACAAAAAAATAAAAAATAAATACAAAAACATGGCATTCCAGTAAGCCTAGGAGTGTACTCGAGTTCCTCATTACACAGTTATGCACAGCCTTAATACATGTACAAACCATTTACTGAAAGTGTGGCTCCCTTTGAAATATCTTCCTTTATATTGCATTGCTTTACATTGTTCATTTTTTACCCAAAACAAAAACGAAACTACTATACTGTTTTATATTCGATCATGGAATAACTTAGCAAACTTGGATTTAAAAGATACTTAATCGAAAGAAATTCATATTAGGCACCCAGGCATGAGGGCTGAGGCATTATATATTTTGTACAAAAACTGTTTCCCTGCTCCATCCCACCAGTATCTAGTATCTGAGTATCTAGGGGTTAAGTTGTCACATTGATGCTCTGACTTGTGCTACAGCACTTGGTCTGGGACGTTTGCAGTCAAAGATGTAGGGTTTAAGTATGAGTTTCAATGGGGGCCTTACTGTGTTCGGTTAGGGTTAGATGCAAACTTAAGGGGCGTTGCAAGAAAGTTGCAATCAATTGCAAATCCCCAGAGTCAAGCGTAAGTCTTGCGATTATTTGCAAATTTGCAATTGATCCCAACTCGACTTTCTTGCAATGCCCCATTAGTAAGAGAGGGAGAGAGAGCGGGGGAAAATAAAAGCTAGATCTAGTTGACTTAATTTAATTTTTAACACTTTAATCCTAACAAAATCCTATGAAATTTAGGAGACTAGTGGGGCATTGCAAAAAAGTTGAGCTGCAATCGATTGCAAATATCAGTTACAAATTTCGCAACTTGCAGTCTATCGCAACTTTCTTGCAACACCCCAATAGTGTTAGAAAACTGTTCGTGTACAGAATTGCCCCTATAGCAATTTTTCACTGGAGCACATGTATAAACCTCATATTTCAAATTGCTTCGCAGAGTAAGAGCCTCCCACATCGCCAACCTACCACCACCAAAGAGGGATCCTCTGGCCGACCTTGACCTTCAGAAACCTCCCGTTATGGTGACACGTGTGGAAGGGTTCTCCACAACTCATTATCATATCCCTGGAGAGTATGTAGAGAGGGCTGAACCCCATGAACAGGTGAGTTTTGGGTCATATATTTTTCAGAAAAAAAAAACCTTGTCAATTCAATTCAGTTACATCCACTTCTCTTCTGAATTGAACAATTCTTTTATAACCATCATGTTGTCTCTGTTGGCCGCTATTCTTCTTTGATTGATTATGTATTCCATATTCTTTTCAAACTCATTATTATCTGAGGGGTCCTTAAGAGCTCTGCTTTTTAGTGGACCTCTCCATTTCCTCAAAATATAAATGCAGTTAAATTTATAATCCAATTTTTGTTTTTCTCAAATATATACATTACTGTTAAGATTTGTTTATTACAAATGTATTCATTAAGTGGTGTATTTTGTGTGAAATGAACAAATCAAAATGAAATGAAATGTAATTGTTGTTCCTTCAGGATGATGCCAGGCAAGCAGGGAAGGAGGAGGATGAGAGATTGAGAGGAGAGACGGAGAGGCTCCAGGCGGAGCTGAGAGAGAGGCAGGAGAAGGCCGTCCTGAGGCACAAGCATGCCAAGGGCAAGGAGCTTCTCAAACAAGATTACGAGAGGCTTCTTCTGGACCTGAGCGATCTCCAGAATGCAGATAGGAGGAAGAGGCAAGCGGTGGTGGCTGATATTCCAGTGAGTAATTTTTTTGTCAATGACACAAGGTTCTGTAATGAATTCATAGATAGGTAGATAGATAGATAGTGGTGATTATTTTACTCGACTGCTAAGAAAGTATAAATGCTTTTTAGTAAGCAATCAATCAGAAGACCAACGGCTTTAGGTCCTCTCCGAGGGACCTGGTAATGAGGATTGATGGCTTACCAATTTAAGTTCTGAACAAAATACTTATCCTAACTCAAAACCTAATTTAAGATTCACCAGCCTAAGCTTAACCCACTTGATAAGTGCTCTGCAGCGATGCCCCACACATCATGAATTCATAATTTGAACTCTGGACCGAATGCTTATCCTAAATCCTAACTCAAAACCCAACCTGAAATTCATCATAAGTCCAACCCGAACCCATAGCTGTGGTGAAATATACTCTCAGCTTTATTTCATTAGAGATTTAGGGTTAGGATTGACATTGCAATTTAGGTTAACTTTAGGGTTGCAGTTCAGTTTAAAGTAAGGCTTAGGGCTGGGGTTAAAGCCCCTATGCACTAGTTTGGCCAGGAAGGATTAGAGCTTACTGCATGGTCACTGACAGGTGGGTATCTCATCAAATCAGCTCTCAATTAACATAAGAAAAAGGGGACCATGGGGGACCAATGGTCACTGATTAGACATTGTTTGCTATATAGAGGGTGCAAGTAGCTATAAGTAGTGCAGTGGGGCTTTAATTCTCTTAAATTCCTCCCTCTTGCTTTTCCTTTCAGCGCCAGGTCTTCCAACCCCCTCACAAGCGATTAGAAGACAAGGCAGAGAAGCAGCACCAGTTAGAAGAAGCATTTGAAGACATGTACATGAAACATACAGGTTAGTTTGGAGCATAAATTAAAAGTTGTGATTCATCTTAATAATAGTCGATAATGCAAGTAATGATAATAATACTTATGAAGCACTTATATTGCTCAATCTACATGTATCTAGTAAAATTATTATGTACATTATTGATGGATCAATCTTGATATAAATTCCTCCTTCACCTGTGCAGGCACCATTAGTATGTATTTTTGTGACTATATTTGCCACTGTGCTAGTAAGAAATAAAAAATAAATAAGTACAAAATAAATAGAGGCAACAAAAGTAAGAATAAATTCACATAGCATTGCTAAATGACTTGGTTCAGGGCCATTTCCCCAATCCCCAATTTTGGATAATCAAGATGAAAACAAAATACATACATGTATACTTAAAAGGCTATATTGTTTTTTAGGGATTTGTTTCATAATTTTTTAAAATCAATAACAAGTTATAAGCTACTGAAATCCATGCATTTGATTGGCTGTTAGTAGATTTGTCAAAGATCTGTGGCTGTTGTTATTGATAACAAGTTTTTATAAAACAGTGTCCACATCTGATCTATGCTTCACTCTATGTAAACAATAGATCTGCATAAAAGTCTGTTTGATGTATGAGGTTATTCCAAATCATGTTGTACTGGTAATGTATTGGTGCTTTTACCTTACCTACTCGATTTGATCCCCAGACTATGCTGGGGACATCACACTAGCCCTAGAACCCAAGGTCCCGGGCCAGGACACGGACCTGGACCTGACGGCTGACACCACCAGGAACGGGGAGGATGAGGACCAAGAGGTCACCTTAGAGAGACCAGGTCTTACTCGAGAGAACCAGGGCTTTACCAAGTACCCGACTATGAGTGCCGAGGCCACGCAGGGACCGAGGACTGATGATGGGACGGCACAGCAGAAAACCGTATCTGCCAGAGCAGGTTGGTAATGGGATAAATGTTTGTATATACTGGGGAGTGTTTAATCACAAAGAACTCTAAGTTGGACTTAAACATTATGGAGAGCCATTCGTAGCCTTGTAATGAAATATATTAAAAAGCAAAAATTCAAGTATTTTAGACTTTTCATAAATTCCACATCAAGAAAGTGAAATCTCCCATGATAATAGAAAATATGAATGATTTGAATCAACATTTTATGCCTTTAAAAAAACTTTTACAAAATATTTTTATGAACGCTAACAGCTTTCCATAAATGTTAAATCCAACTTAGATATAAGTTTGACTTAGGATCTTTGTGAAACACCCCCCCCCTCCCCCTGGGCTTGTATTCTGTCAAGAGGACCAAATTTACCCCCTGATATGCCGAGTTACTTTGATGATCTCTCAGCCAGAGGGGGTAGGTTGCACTGTCCCTTGTAGGGTTAAATATGGCCTTATTCAGTCCTCTGCTTTGATATGGAGTATCAGGTGCCAACATATCAAATTATTGTAATTCTATAATGAAATGAAAAACATGAAATTCATTTAAATTAAATCATGCCGAGAAACTGAGAAATTAGTTTTTCATTGACATTTTTTGTATTTATTTATATACTTAATGATAAAAATAATCTAAAGATGAAAAAGTTTGACACTTGTATAATGGACCATCTCTGTTTTCACCTCAAAATATGGAAAAGGAAAGATGTACCGGTAGTATTCAATCAGAAAAAAATGGTCTATAAAAATTTGAGTATGTGTAAAATGCTACATGCACCTATACATGAAGGTTAAATGGGATTTGTAAATGTTTGTTATATACTTGGGCAATGAAGAACTGAATGAGCCCATCTTGAATCTTTAATTCAGAGTCTGCTTTCATTTTTTTAAATTTCATCACATTTTTACAGAGATGCTGAAAAGATTGATGGGTAGGGTAAGAGGACAGCAGGATGATTGGAAGAAACAGCAAACCAAAGCTCAAACTCCAGTGGCCTCAGGTCAACCCAGGGTCATACCAGAATCACATGCTCAGGAGGAAGGTAAATCACTTGTAAAAGACTTATTGAAAAATAATTCAAGAATGTAAACATGAACTTGAAGCATACCTGCCAACCCTTACAAATAATCCAGAATTTTCTGATTTTCTGGATTTTTAGGACCTGAAAATTTTGAATATTCTGATTTTTCAAAATTTTGATTTTTTTAAATTTTATTTTAAATTTGGTGCTAAAGCCAACTTAAGCTTCTTCTATCATGTGCCGCAGTTTGAGAGTTCACGTATTATGTGCATTGAATGGCTGCATGATCGAGCAGCGAATTTGTATTCGCTTTCCTAATTCTTATTTTCAAATGTTGGCAGGTATGATTTAAGCAACAAAACAGACTACATGTATTGTAAAGGCATGCCTTAGATTTTTAGGAATCTACACGTTAAAGGTACTATGTCCCATTTACAGGCCCAAAAAATGAAAAGGTTAAATTCCAACGGCATTTGAAAGATAATACTAATTTAAAAGTTCCCTAAAAAAGGTGGGGCTTGAAAATGTCTTAAAGTGAGAAAATAACGACTATTAGTTGTCAAATCGACTTAGGAGCTATAGAGCCAATAAGTAATAGTCTTGATTTTGAGACTATTGTACCGAATGGTCATACGTTTTATGCTGCGCAGAGATTCAATCAGTTTAATTTTGGCCATCACAAGAAGTGTGTTATTGATGTAGACAAATGCTCATGTACCCTTTACAGCTCATTTTATGTATGTTATTAACAAAACAAAAAAAAGCCAGTCAGTCACTCGATAGTGTCTGACAGTGAAGTCTAGCAAGTAAACGAGTTTCCTTGCATAATTTGAATATTTGGACACTGCTACTGTTTAAATGACATGTTCATAATTCCTGCAAAGTTCTACAGAATTTGAGATGCAAAAGGGACATAGTACCTTTAAAGGTACTATGTCCCTTTTGCAGCCAACCTCAATTATGAATATGTCATGTATGTCCTATCTGTGAAATTTAAATGTTAGCAGTGTCCTCATATTCAAATTATGCAAGGAAAACCGTTTTCTTGCTAGACTTCACTGTCAGACACTATTGAGTGACTGACTGGCTTTTTTCTTCTTTGGTTATAACATACATGAAAAGAGTTGTAAAGGGTACATGAGTATTTGTCTACATCAATAACCCACTTCTTGTGATGGCCAAGATTAAACTGATTGAAACTTTGCACAGCATAAAACGTATGACCATTCGGTACAACTTGTCTGAAAATCAAGACTATTACTTTTGGGCTCTACAGCCCTAAAGTCTATTTGACAACTAATAGTCGTTATTTTCCCACTTGAAGACATTTTCAAGCCCCACCTTTTTTAGGGAAGTTCTAAATTAGTATTATCTTTCAAATGCAGTTGGAATTTAACTTTTTCATTTTTTTGGCCTGCAAATGGGACATAGTCCCTTTAATAGGTTATATATATATATTTTTCTTTCTCTCTTTGATTACCCCTTCCACCTCGTGTATATTTATGTGATCAACAATATTGATGAAACCAAGACCAGCTCAGGATTTCAATAGAGGCTCTGCTTAATGAATGTAACCAACATTTTTTCTCCTGGTACTGGCACCCTATTATTTGGACTTCATCACTGATTAAAGCCAACTAAAAGTGACTACTGAAATGTCGCAACTCCCAAATCTGTTATACAAAATATGCATTGCACTTTAACTTGATGATCTATGGATACTTCAAAATGTTTTAAATTATTTCTTTAAAAATACCCTTCACCCTATCCCACTTGATTATGATGAAATTAAATGTCAGTTCCATTTAATTTTCACAAAAATTAGAAATCGCTACCTACCCAGAGTCTGAAGAAAGTGAGAGTCACGTTTCCATAGAAACCACACCCACCCAGACCTTGACCACACCCTCTGAGCTATCAGAGCATCCCATTGAAAGCGGGGAGACCAGTAGCACCACCACCAGCGGCGTGCCAAGATCCCTTGAGACAGGGACACTGTCCGAAGTGTCTTCCGAAGCAGGATCTACCCTCCTACACCCAATGGAATATGCCGCCAGGCTTAGGGGTGAACAGGTGAGATAATGAAGAAGTGTATTGTGCTATTGTGTCTTAGAGGGGTGTACAGCACCTTCATGTTGGAGAGACTTGTTTGGTAAATGTTGTCATGAATTGGTATAGATTTCTGAAGCAGGATCTACCCTCCTACACCCAATGGAATATGCCGCCAGGCTTAGGGGTGAACAGGTAAGATAATGAAGAAGTGTATTGTGCTATTGTGTCTTAGAGGGGTGTACAACAACCTTCATGTTAGAGAGACTTGTTTGGTAAATATTATCATGAATTGGGATGGCTTCCTTCTAGCAATCTTGCCAGCATTTATTCTCAGATGAAATTTCTTGGGTCAAGGTACATGTAAATTGTAGCAGTGGACAGTAGAGAAATTTAGTCAACACATAAATCCAAATGACTATTAAAAGCACTTCACAAGCATGCCTACTCTGTGCGGCTAATAACAATTTATTCTTGTAAAGGATAGAACAAGTATGGTAGATACTATCGAAACAAAGATTACTTTGGAGAAGAAAACTTTCAGGGGACGAGAGGATACTCTTTTGTTTTCACTTTCGTTATTTGCTTTCTTTTAAATGTCGCCATTGAATTGTCTTTCTTTCTGATTTCATTCTTAAACAGCTTGCTCAGCAAGCAAGGACACAGGAAGATATCAGAGCCATTGGAGAGGAGCAACAGAAGAGACTTGGTGATCTGAAGCAGACTGTCCATGTGCCTTGGGACACCATTGCCCAGTCTCAGTGGCCATCGATCCCACCTGAGCAATATCGAAAGGGTGAATTCACGAGTGAGAGAAGACCCGGGGTAGCGGATGCCAATCTTGTACCTGGAACATCTGGATATCCTACTCCTGGCGCCTCACCAGGAAAAATGTTGCAGAGTGGTGTACCTGTGGGAGATCTGGCAGGTACAAATTCCAGGAGAATGGACTCTGCACAAACTCAGAGAGTGTTGGATCGGCCACAGTATGAGCCACAGATACATAGACCACTAGAGTATCCTCGGTTGGATAATGTCACAGGAAGGGGTCCTGATGGCCAGCCTCGTCCAGGAGATGACACAGATGGCTTGCTTCTCATGCAGCGCAAACCAACAGTTGTGGAGAAGAGAATAGGAGTTCAGAGTACACCCTCTGACAGTGACATTGGTTCTGATCAGGTCATCGATCTTCAACTATTGGATGAAGTGGTTCACGATGTTCCAGGTACAATGCAACAGACATTAGATGAAGAATCTGCTGTAGATTGGCTCCAGAGAGCAAGAGAATACCAACAGAGACTACTGGACAGGCAGAAACAGAGCCAAGACTCGCTGCTTCATGCACAGACGAAGCTGCAGGAGCGCAGGGATAGACTGATGACAAATTATCCAGATGTTAAACTTCCCGATTATGTGCCATACACAATGCAAGGTGAAATGGACAGAACAGAATGGCCATCAACCCAACAGTTTACAGGAAGTTTGGCACCTGTAGTTGGAGAATTCCAAGGTGAAAGAAGCTATTATAGAGAGGGTGAAGAGAGCACATATGATAGAGGAGTCACGTTTGAACCAGGAAATAGTAGAGGGCAGCAGACTCTAACTGCTGACATATCTCCATCCGCAAGTTCAGAGGAAGCTATAGGATATACAGGGAACCGTCATCACGTTGGATATGAAGAAACACTTGAACCTATGGGAAGCTCAAGGGTTTCTCCTTCAAAGAGGAGACTAGGCTTCTTTCATGACCAAGATACAAGAGACTCTCGTTTTGCACCAATGGCTGAGGAAGCTGTTTCTCAGACCTCTGCAGAAGGAAGTGTGAATCTGAGCCTTGAGAGAAAAAGTGACATTGGTGATAATGGTGTTTCTTATCTACAGGACACCGTTGGCCACGCAGAGGACAGTGGAAGAGAGACTGAAGCTGAAAAGGCACTGACAATTCGTCATCAGCAGTTGTTGGAGGAGAAGAGGGTCCTTGAAGAGAGACAGAACGCTCAGCAGCTGAGACTTATACAGAAGCAGAAAGAACTTGCGGATCAGATTGAACAACAGCAAAGAAAGTACCAGGAAAGGAAGAAAGCAGCCAAGGTTAGCCCTTCCTCCAAAGGACCACCTCCGGAGCATTCCCCATCCATTCCACAAGGCATTCTTCGAGGGAGCGGTGTTGGATCTCACTCCCCTGGCATGCAGCCCAGCACAGGACAGTATCAGTCATCCTCTGGCATGGACTTTGGAAGGTCTTTAAGTCAGCAGATGGATATGAGGAGAATGCTGCAGGGCCAGGTCTTCAAGCCTCAAGATTTCATACATCACCTCCAAGCATCACAGAGCATGGGTTTAGAACAAGAAGATGAGTCTGACGTTAGCCATCAGTCTTCTTCAAGAGCATCGGGAGGCACCCAGGAGCTTGGTAACATGATGATGGGTGTGTTAAAACCTCATGAACTGCTCCCGCACCTTCAAAATCTCTTCACGGACTCCGATGGCTCACTTCCGGATAACGTATCATCTTCTTCTTCGGGTCTCATTCAAGAGCAGTCTCTTAGAGGATTGGATTCAGCTGAACAAGGAACTCGATCATTTGATGGAGGGTATTCCCACTCTGGACATTTGCACTCTTCAGGTTTGAGTGAAGGTACTCTTGATATGGACTCAACAGCATCAACCAGCCTACAGCATGCTAGGTTAGCAGGTGGTAGACTCCAAGGACAGGTGTTTAGGCCTGCTGATCTGATGGCGGAACTTAGGGCCATAAACCTGCAAGTTGGAACGCAGGGCTCATTTGGAAGTTCTAATGAGTTCACACAGTCCAAGTCTGGAGAGTGGAGGCCAACTTTTAAAAGTGGCACATTAAGCGGATCAGAAGGGCCTGATACCAGGTCTGGACCTTATCAGCTTCCGGGATCATTGCATGGTCAAACTGCTTTAAGTGAGCAATCTACAGGAATCTCCTATCACAGTTCGCAAGGCACCAGTGAACTGAGTGGTGCTAGCAGAGGCCCAAAGGGAGTCTACACAGAACTTCTCCAAGGTCATGTATTCAGACCAGAAGATCTGCTTCCTCATTTACAGAATCCTCTTTCACTTTCCCAAATTCTAGATGGTTCCTCAATGCCAGAGCCTCATTTATCATCCACTCTTGCGCACTCGGACACCTACGCAAGTCCGTATACACTGCGGCCTGAAGGAGATGGTGGCGGCAGTTACCATCGCGATGATGACGTAGTTCAGGCTGCATCACCTGACCTGGATGATCGGGATCCTATCCAGTATGACCAACCTCCAGTTTCAACATTCTTGCCTATGACTATGCCATCGCATCCTGCCCCAGGTTCGCACTTTATGAGATCAAGACGTCCTCCACCTGCCAATCTTCAACAGGTCGCCATGCTCCCAGAAAACATGGGGCCTCACGAATTGAGCACCATCCTGGAGATGGAGACGTCCGCTGATGAGAGGATGCACCTGTACGGAGTGGGTGCAACTCCTCGGAACGTGATGGAGTCGTCCAGAATATCCAGAGCAGATGAAACAGCAGCCCCACTCCATTTTCTGTCTGGAACTGAAGGTAACCTTGGAGAGAGATTGCCCACGTTTGGTGGTCCAGCAACAGCTGGGGTTCAGGGAAGGTTTCAGGGAATTCAGAGGATGGACATGGACAGAAGTGATACTGAGTGGTCACAAGGTACACTACCAGGAATGCAGACTCCACACGGCGGTAGAGGTAATGCTGGATCTGTCATTCAGATCTCACAGCCCACTGTGGCAAGTCTAGAAGCTGAACTCTACAGTACTCAAGAAATGAGGACACCTCGTTTGATATCAGATCTGCAAGCAAGAGATATGAGTGTAGCAGCTTCTACTCTCTCAGAACACACGCTGGAGGATGAAAGTGTTGTAAACGTCAGTGCTGTTGATTATTTCAGTCGGCATACTGATGGTCAAGGAAGGTCCGTGATAGGGGAATCATTTGGATCATATGGTGCAGATATAAATGTAGGATCATTAGGCGTGCATAGAGGGGAACCAGCTGGAGAGAGCATGAGATGGAAGGACTTGTTGAAATCATCTGATGATTCAGTAACGTCAAGTAGTAGTGATGGAGTGGAGAGAGGTGGAAGGGATCCTCTGCGTCAACCAGTTCCGGCAGGTGATGAGGCCGAGGACTTCTTTCCTATGATGGAGACAGAGAATACTACCATGGCAACTCAAGATTCCATGCATGATCATTCTTATGATGCAAAAGATGGCACTGGTACTCACACCAATGCCCACAGAGAACAACTTGGAGCGATGCGGATGCAGAAGCATTTAGCTGCTGGCCTGAATCTGGATTCCAGCTCCAGTTCCAATGGCCAGAACAATGGTTACGCTCCTAGGACACCATCACAGGAGGAGTCCACACCGACCAGTAGCTCTAAACTCAGCACCGTCATAGGAGCAGCAGTGGGAGGAGCATTGTCAGGTCGAGTAACTGATGAAGATGACTCACCTCTGTTTGTTCCAAAGTCATCTCAGCAGCAAGAACAGTTTCATTTCCTCAGCACAGACACCCAAAGAGACAGAATGGAGCAGGGAATCACAGAATTCCATGGTCAGTTTGGTAGAGTTTTACCTGAACAGCATTCAGAGGAATCTCGTACGTCCACCTCACCTGGTCAAAGACAACCTGAACCACCAATCCCCTTCCAGAGACCATACAAAGCCAAAGATCTTGCAGCAGGAGGTTCTAGACAGGGGTTCTTTGGGGATCAAGACATAGAAATTGCCGCTTCACAGGAAGAGTACATTAGGGATATGCTGGCTTCTTTGCAGGTGAGCTAGAATTAAATTACATTCATGGATCAGAAGACTAGTTAAAGTGTTACATAATCAATTTACTGTCACCACCAGCATCAATATTGGTCTTTATCCTTCTTCTCTTTCATCATCATCATCACCATTGCCTTTTTAAAGTTTTGGTATTTCCTCAACTCTCTTGAACTTTCTGTTGTGGTGACCAATCGTAATATGACATTTATTTTCCTTTTTAAAAATGTTAGTAGGTATTAATTTGGGTAGTTCTATGCATTCTATAAACTGTACCTGTATATAAAGAAGGTAATAGTTAGGTCCTAAATACGCTACAATCATTAAATTGATGAATACTATTATTTATTTTTTTACATTTACATGTAGTTCTGAACTTTAAAATTTAAAATCCTTTATTTTTTAAAAATCTAATTTTACAACCTAGCATGGTAGGCAGAGAGGTACAATAACAATGCCCCTTTTCTCAGACGTCTCACTGAGTGGATACAGTATGTCACAAGATGGATCAGTCTCTGAGATGAGGTCACCAGTCAAAGGGAGAGAAATGACATCACTTGAGGTATTTGAGTTCCCTGTGCAATTCGGTATCAGTACTATCTAACATTTTTTGTTGCTCTTCACTAAAGCTACAGTCCCATATACGTCCCGGACCGTCCCGGACCATCCCAAACCCCATCCGGGGTGATCCGGGATTCGGTCCGTGTTGACACCGTGTTGGCACCGGGGTGGTCCTGGATGGTCCTGGATGGTCCTGGGCGGTCCGGGAGTCGACCCCGGATGTTTTTGACGGTCAAAAACTGCCGGGGTGGTCCGGGACGGTCCGGGACAATAGTTTGATCCGGGGTGATCCGTGTAGCCACCGTGCTGGGTCCGGGGTCATCCGTAGTGGCGCCGGGGCGGTCCGTGTTGATCCGTGGCAGTCCGGGAGTGAGTTATTGACCGCCCAGGACCATCCAGGACCATCCAGGACCACCCCGGTGCCAACACGGTGTCAACACGGACCGAATCCCGGATCACCCCGGATGGAGTCCGGGATGGTCCGGGACTGTCCGGGACGTATATGGGACTGTAGCTTAAAAGCATCACACTTTTTTGAACAAAACATCCCGGACCATCCCGGATCACCCCAGACCATGGTCCGGGATGGTCCGGAGTGGTCCGTGCTCGTCCGTGCTGGTCCGGCTTTATATGGGACTGGGGCTTTACATTTCTCAATTTTTGGTCTAGATTGGAATTTATCTGTTTGCACTGAGCTTCTGTTTACATTTAAAATTTGGGTCAGAATTGAAGTTATTCGTCATTGAAGGTTTGTGAGTACCAGACCTGTGTCAGTGTCAAGTCCTTACACGGATAATTGGCCAAGTTTTCTTTCACATCAATTATTTTGTTCATATTTGAAATGTTTGGTAGAACACTGGGGTTTTAACAATCAACAACATATTTATGGAAAAAGGGTTGCGTGTGAAAGGTTTGATTCAATTTCACCATTTAAATCTTTCTTTCTCTAAAATATCTATAGATCTGTTTTAAGTTCCTTATATTTTGAGTTATTATTATCATGATGATCATGATCAATGTTATCATGATCATCACGATGGTGAACATCATCACTGTAGTCATCATCACCATCATCATTTCATAGTCAGGACCATGATGTAAAACAGATTTTGTATCTACAATGTATATCTGATTCTTGTTATCGTGATTAAATACATTTCAATAAAATAAAAAAATGAATAGTCGCAATCATCACCATCATTATTTTTATTTTCATTCAGTCAACCATGGACCCCAGTGGTAAAGAACTGGTGCAGCAGCATCTGGCCCTAGCTGGAACATCTCACCCTGAAGACCGGACCTTCCCATCTCTGGGAGACCTCGAGATGGAGACAGGGATCCTGGAGGAGCCAGATCTCACCTTTGCTTCGTCCTTTAACACCACCGCTGACTCCACCCTCCAGGCTCCAGGGGTACCGGCTCCAGCGGGCGTGGGCCCCCATGAGGTAAAGGGATGTGGATGGTGTTTGTGTTTGAATGTGATGAGACAGAGAAGATAGCATTGAGGCTGATACTGGAGATAGTGATAGACTGTTGGTAATGGTAAAGAGGAGAAGAAGAAGGAGGAGGAGGAGATTGAGGAGAGAGAGAGAGAGAGAGAGAGGGGAGGAGGAGGAGGAGGAGGAGGAGGAGGAGGAGGAGGAGGAAGGAGGAAGGAGGAGGAGGAGGAGGAGGAGGAGGAGGAGGAGGAGGAGGAAGAAGAAGAAGAAGAAGAAGAAGAAGAAGAAGAAGAAGAAGAAGAAGAAGAAGAAGAAGAAGAGAAGAAGAAGAAGAAGAAGAAGAAGAAGAAGAAGAAGAAGAAGAAGAAGAAGAAGAAGAAGAAGAAGAAGAAGAAGAAGAAGAAGAAAAGAAGAAGAAGAAGAAGAAGAAGAAGAAAAAGAGAGAGAGAGAGAGAAAGAGGGGGGGGGGGGGGGTGTGGGGTAGGGGTAGGAGGAAGAGGAAGAAAAAGAAGAGAAAGAGAAGAAGGAGGAACATGATACAATAATTTGATGACAGCGATAACGGTAATGATCACAAGGATAAAATTGGGTCCAAGAAAAACTTAATGGTAAGACGGACTTAAGGTTCCTCAGTTTAAATCAGTGAGCAATCTAGATATCCAGTAATTGTACTTAGACAAAGTTTATTGTTATAGATCGATGCTATTGTTAGCGTTATTATGTGACCAGCCCTGAAATCATTTTGATGTATGCTATCGCTTTGTTCTTTCATTGAGCAGCAACAGGAACCCTCAACGCTGGATATATCACAGTCCTCACAAGGCAGTGCCTCCATGTCTCTGCTATCCTTCCAGCATCATGAGAATGAGCTTCTGGAAGCCAGCCCTCAGTCATTTTCCAGGGTCACCAGGTCAGAAGGTCAACTCAGGGTCACTCAAAGTCTCACCAGCACCACTCGTCTCAGAGTAACCCAATCTGTAGGTCACGTGAAAGTCGTCCCCCAGACAACGATTACCAGTCAGCAGGAGAAAGACCCTCTAGACGGCAGCCGTACGTCAAAAACAGGGGTCACCAGGTCAGAAGGTCAGGTCAAGGACCCTGATCGAGCCGCTGGTGGTGGGCCAGGTATACCTCTTACAATTAATTTACAAAAAAGCTCACTCTAAATCTGATGATGATAGCAACACTGATGATGATAATGATGTAGATGGTGATGATGATAATGATGATGTTGATTGGTGAAATCTAGATTGTGAAGATGACAACAATGATTTGGTATGATGACGATGATGATCATGGAAACGATAATAATGATAGTGGTAATTTTGATGATGATGGTAATTGTGAGGATGATGATGGGTATGTGATGATGGTGATGTCAAAAATAAAAATGATTATAATAATAGTGATTATGATTATGATGGGGGTCATGTTGATGATAATGATAATAATGATATGCCTGGTTTTCCTGTGTTTGCACAGTATCGCTCCAAGAAGCCTTCCAGCAGCGCAAGACCGCTTTCATCCAAGCCTCGGAATCTCGCAAGAGAGAGGTCAAGGAGCACGCTGAGACCAGAAGCCAGGAATCCACGGTCTTTGCCAAGACAATCCAGGATTGGAAGAGGTCGAAGGTGAAGGGTCAGACGAAGCAAGCTGCAGTGAAGAAAGCATCGGGAAGCAAAACTGGTATGAAATATTTTAAAACTTTTTATATACAGGTACACAGTACTCATAGCCTGTTGCCTTTTATGTTATGTTGAATTATCATGTTTAGTTATAAAGGCCTAGTGTTATTTTTTCAGTGTCCAATAACATTTACAATTAATGTTCAAGATGGCATATTTTAGTGATATTTGTCAAATGCCTGGTTTGATGCAAAATGTACTACACTCATTTTTCTGTTTGGTTATATATAGCTTGGTTAAAACTAATTTGTAATAAAGTAGAAAAAGTTTTGCTTTTGAAAACCTGAATATGTGTGGTAATGAGTCCATGAAACTCTTTCTCTATACCCCATATTCACGTTTGCTGATACAATTCAGTCTTGTGTTTTCTTTGAAGTAATATTTTTGTAAAGAAATTGTTGTGTTGAATAAAAAATGGTAAAAATAATGATCCCAATTTTATCTGGAATGGATTATGGAGTGTATTAAAAATCCTCATTCTCATTTCAATTTGCCTCCCTTGTATATAGGCCAGTTCTCCGCAGACACCACCAGTGGTTTGAGCTCAACACTGAAAACCCGAACGGACAGAAATGCAGGGCAGAAAGAGATGAAAGAAAGAAGTCTCAGGTATTTAAAGACGCATAGTAGTGGGCTCTCAATTGGGTATTTTACACCATTCGGGTATTTACTCAATAACATGTGTTGTCAATCACAAGGATTAGACTTTAGTTTTATGACCAACAGGCCTTATGTAATGCTCTGTATTTCCCATCAATCCCTTGATATGGTAAAGTTATTATCTTACATTTCCGTCACCTGAAGACTCTCCAAGAGACTAGAGGGGTATTTCTTGATGGGACCACAGGTTTGCTGTGAGACTTGTTCACCCATTAGGCCTAGAAAAAAAAACGTTGTATTGCACTTTGCGACCAACCCAAAAATCTTGAAATCTATGTTCGGTTTTTAATTTTTTAAAAAATTTTTACCATTTTTTAGAGAAAAAAATGTAGCGTTCAAAACTCAGAAATATCAGTCCAAGAAAGGGTAAAAAAAAAAAAAATGGTTTCTAAACGACCGCCCCATGTTTTGTCACATAATGGGCAATACATCTTTTTGTTGAGACTGTATGTTGAGTTGCCCGTTAGAGCCCACTACTAGATCAGAGGTACAGTATCAAGCATGATGATACCTATTGGGTTAAATTTCAACTTTTCATTATACTTGGGTTTATATATGGCACAAATCAAGATCAAGTGACTTGAACTTGCCTATTGATACATGTACATGTAGTTAAAGGGATAGTTGAGTTCTTTTTCAGACCGCAAATTGTAGGTCCTAAAAATGCACAAATTTTGCTTAAAGATAAAGTTGAGTTCTGGTCATGCATTTGTACTGTGAAAAAAACGGTGTGGAATCGATCAGAAAAGTTTGAACGTCTAGCTTTAAGTATTGGTGTGTACTGCAAGGTTCTGGAATCACCAAAATAAAACGAAATTTGGTCCAGTCTTGGTAAATTTACAATTAGTACTGTACACAAAAAGATGTATATAGGGTTATACGAACATGTGGCATAAAAATCCGTCCAGATTTTTATGTTGTTACAAGCCATATTTAGAATATGAACGCATTTAAAAGCTATGCTTTTCAGGGAACAAGTTTTATCTGATGTTCTTCCACACTCGCATAATAACAATAATGCTAACAAATTATTTTTCACTTCTTTCCAGAACTCGACCTTCTTTTTAAAGGGTGCCAATTACCCTAAAAATATTTTGCTGTGTATGTTACAGGTTCCATTCTGATACACTATGTTCAAAAGATGAGCTACAGTGGTACTTCTAAAAAGCACCAAATGCACTCTCATTGAGTGGTCATTATATTCAAGATTCACTGTGTGTCTAAGGTTGTATAGTGGAAAAGGAACTTGTAAACAATGAAGGAATTCAGGTATATCTTTTTAACTTTGTTTGCAGGCTTTACAGTCAACTGGAAGAGGTCAAGAAACAGAAGACAGAGAAGGATCGGCAAGATTCCTACGCAGCCAATAGGCAGAAGAAGAAAGAGTTTGAGCAGAAACTACAGGCCAAGCGAATGAAGCGGACGTCTTCCCTAGAGAAAACAAAGAAGGACAAATGAAACAGCAGAGAGAGATGGGCTAATTTAAAGCCCCACTGCACTACGTGTGGCTACTTGCTCCCTCTATATAGAAAACAATGCCTAACCGGTGCCTGTTGGTCCCCATGATCCTCTTTTTCTTATGTTAATTGAGAGCAGAGTCGATGAGATAACCACCCGTCAGTGACCACGCTGGGTGGTCTAATCCCTCCTGGCCAAACTAGTACAGACAGGCTTTAAGCATCATTTGTACTCGCCTTTAGATAGGTTAATGAAATATTGAGCAAGTGGATGCAATGTCGTGCTCACCCTCAGTTTTCAGAAATATTAGATACATGCTTCATCACAATTGATACCCTTACAGTGACGCTAGAAACTGTAACTCTTGTGTATTTTAATTGATACACTGGTAAAAAAAAAATCACAGATAGTATACCATCCTCTCATGCCTTGTTATCTTGTGTAGTATTATAAAACAAGAAACATTTGCATGCTTGAGACTTTTGCTATTTCGGAAGTGGTCATAGCTGCTAAATATTTGAATCAAAACTGATACAAGTGCTGAAATATTGCAATCCATTTCTGTATTTTGCCACAAAAATGACTTTTGTTTGAAATTAGTAGTTTGAGGTTTAACAGTAATATTACATTTCACATTTATTTATTTATCATATTGAGAAATTTTTAAGCATCTACATTATCACTGTTATTATCATCATCACAACCATCAGTGACATCATCACCATCATTAGCATTATCATCACCACAACTGTCACCAAAATCATTATTATTCATTACCATCTTCAGCATCACTATCATCATCACCACTACTACCACCACCATCATCATCATCAGCAGCAGCAGGAGCAATAGCACTACCACTATTATCATCAACACCATAATTCTTCATTACATGATGTAGTAGTAATAGGATAAACAAAGAGTTGAGTTTATATTTTGTTTATTATAAACATAATATGCATCGATGTATCAGTGGTGTCATGAAATATATCAATGCACAGTCAAGAGAGTACAGTGAATTAAAACATATTTGTATATATGAAAAAATGAGTGGAAAATATTCAATCTTATCACTGCCAATGTTGTTGACATACACTGTATGAAATACTGGTACTGCTTTATGATTTACAACGGAAAATGATTCTTCTATAAAAAATAGTTGCAAGTCTTGTCATATATATATATATACAGGACATTGCACTACCGGTAAATGAAATTACTACATGCATGGTGTCTTGATTATTCCCATCAAAGAGATTCATAGTTCTAAGCTTTCTTTAAACAATTGCTATTCCTTTATTCCGTTATGGTAATTCTATATTGATGATAAAGACTGGATAATGGATATCAATATTTTCATGATTGTTTTATGTACCCCATCGATAGCAAAGTGTCCTGCTTTTGCATTGCACAACAATGCATGTGCCTTTTCAAATAACTGCTTCCTTTTCGATGCAAAATAACAAGTCTTTCTCCTGTAATTTATCCGTACAGATGACAGATAATGATAGTTGCATTTGGAATTTAAAGGCCCACTGCACTACTTGTAGCTACTTGCGCCTCTTACAACAAACAATGCCTAATCGGTGACCATTGGTCCCCCATCATCCTCTTTTTCTTATGTTAACTGAGAGCTGAGTTGATGAGATAACCACCTGTCCAGTGACCTTGCAGGGTGCGCTAATCCCTCCTGTAAACTATGGCAGATAAGCTTTAAGCTAATGCAGCTTATGTACATTGTATACATATTGTGTAAATGTTTATATAAGTGTGTACATGTTTATTATGTGACTGGATGTGTTATGATATATTGTAATAATATATTTATGTGAGACTACACCTTGAATTCAAATGCATTTGATATTTGATGCACCATTGTGATGAATAAAAATAATGCTCAAATTAATTATCTCTGGAATGTCATCTTTCTTTCTCCGCTTATGCCCTAAATGGAATTGCATAATCGCCCTCTCTGCTATTTTCCTCCGATCACAATAACAGGGCATTGCAAATCTTTGTGATGGAAAAGAAAGAAAACCTATTCTGCTGTACAGATGTGAGATAGGTTTTTAATGACTGTCCTAGCTTTGCAGCCACTCGTACCCTTTATCCAACTGGGCCCGTTGCATAAAATTTACCATTGATGGTAAATTTGCCAGGGCTCAACAGCCAGTCAAAATCAAGGTTTCTACGGTACATATAGTTAACATTGATAGCAAAGTTACCATCAATGGTAAGTTTTGTGTAACGGGGCCCAGGAAGATAACAATACAATTACTTTTACACATACCTTATCATCCTTATCATGCCTAAGAATGAAGTTTCAAATATGATTTTCCAATTTCGTATCTCCATTCATCTAGATTTATGGTATATGCATACCGGTACATCTGATATTAAAAATTGGATCCAATTCTTTACTTATAAGTACTCAAAAAGAAATATGTTAACATTTTATTATAGTATCTATACACATTGTAATACAAATCTTTAGCTATACTAATAAATCTATTTATTGATATTTCTGATTATTCTTCTACAATGCTGCGTCTTGACCTCTGCTAGGGCGCCCTCTAGTGTTTGGGTCAAGTGGACCAGGTTGACCGGGTCTGTCTGTAATACATGGACATCCTTCTTGCCGCAGTCTTCCGTGTGCAGCTTCATGACGACGGTGGGAATGGTCTGGTGTCGCAGGGATCGACTGGCAAGCTGGCAATGAGGGGGATGAGAATAGGAAAATTACGATAAAAGAATGTAAAGAAATCAAAGAGCAAATTTAACTTAAACAAAAGTAAGAGAAACAGAATGGTGCAAAATTTGACAAAAATCAGAGGAATAATAAGAAGGTCTAAATTTCTAATACACGTAGTTGCAATTGATGAATTTGTTGAATTAGTTATTCGATTGTGACATATTTGTGGACATTTTCTCGATTCTCAATGTTCATCATGCAATTGCCTGTTTCTTGATATAAATCGACTAATACCAACTAGCTGAAAATCACAAATCACACTTGCAGGCACTCTTTGGAGACCACATGTTAAGAAATCTTCCGAGGTAACTAGCTTGATATTATTTGTGAATTTTGTAAGGTAGCTTATTCATTTCTCCGCACATATTACGTTTAAAAAAACATATCAACAAATATCATTCAATTGTAGGTTTGATGGCAGAATGTAATTCAATGCAAGTTTATTTTGTTCTGTAAGATTTCACCCATACCCCAAATCACCTTTAAAAGTTTAAGTTCCTTTTTAAAGGAAGATGGTATTCAGTTTCCATGTGCAGTAGGTCATATTTCGCTGCCACCAGTCTTGGGGGAATTGCTTTTAAAGGGAAAGTCCACCCCCAAAATAAGTTTGTTTCGATAGAGGCAGAATAATAAGAAAATCAGGTGAGTGAAAGTTTGAGCAAATTCTGAATAAAAATAAGAAAGTTATGAATTATTGAAGTTGTGATCAATCAAATACAAATTGGCAACTCTGTGACTTATTATACGAGCTCTCCTTCATTTGCTTTGTGCATAATATTCCATAAAATCATGTTTTCTTCGTTATTGATGACGGAATATATATTTGTTCCTTGCAGGGGGAGTATAGAAACATATATGCAATTATTATATTTAGGGTGCATGTATAGTTGAAATTTTTCTTGAGGGAAAATGAAAATTTTAGATTTTTTTAGTACTGAGCAGATGGAAGTTCAGCTCGCATGATACGTCATAGAGTTGCCAATTTGTGTTTGATTGATCACAACTTCAAAAATCCTAACTTCCTTATTTTTAATCGGAATTTGATCAAACTTTCACGACTTGTTTCTCTCATTTTTCTACTCCTATTAAAACTAACTTAATTTCAGGGTGGACTTCCCCTTTAATGGGTGTCTAAGTCTCGCACACAGCAAACCTGTGGTCCCATCACGAAATACCCCCCTTGTCTTAGATAGTCTTTGGGTGATGGAAATGTGTGATAATGACGTTTCCATATGGGGCGATTGGTGGAAAATGCAGAAAATTAGAGAAGGAATGTTGGTCATAAAAATAAACTGAAGAAAACGCCTGTTATTGGGTAAACAAACAAATGGTTTTGAAATCCTCATGAGAGGCCACTACTGAAGGGGCTTTAAAGTTTGCCTTGCAACATGATAGGAACTTGGACTCCCGGCACACAATAAGACCCCTTACCTCGACATCTAGTCTCCATTCCAGGTTGCGATAGTGCGGCAAGTCCATGGCCATCTCGCCCAGTATACTACGAATCTCAGCTCGGTTCTCCGTGTACAGACCCAGCAGGTCTTTGCATAAGCCTTGGGAGAAGCCTAGTATTGCAATGGAGTCCTGGAAATCCAGCTCTGAGACCTGGAGCAAGAGGAATGCACAAAATTTTGAAGTTTTTTTTTTTTTTTGGGGGGGGGGGGGCATCATTTTGTTATCATTCAATCTTAAATTTTAAAGTGATGGTGGTGAAGGTGGTGAAAACTAGTAGGGTTGGCGCGATTCAAATCACCTTTTTTTTTTCAATCAGTGATTTAAAGCCCCACTGCACTAGTTTGGCCAGAAGGGATTAGACCGCCCTCCATGGTCACTGACAGGTGGTTATCTCATCAAATCAGCTCTCAATTAACATAAGAAAAAAACGATCGTGGGGGACAAATGGTCACCGAATAGGCATCGTTTGCTATATAGAGGGTGGGGCTTCAATCACGTCTTTAGACTTGTGTGTTTAAAAAGAAAGGTTTGTTCAAAATATCTTATAATGGACTTCACCCATACTTTTGCACAGTTTTGTGCTATATAATTTATCTTGACATCACAAAAGCTTGCCTGACATAGCAACAACTACTGTATGCAAAGTGGATCCAACCGAAAGAGATGTCATTATGTATAGCAGGTTAATTAGATAATTAGTAACTTTGGATTCGGAGAGAAACAATGCATTGAATGCTCCCCAGGAAGTGGAAAATGTGCATACGTTGTGTTGCGGGTATGAGCCTAAATAATATGTGCTGCGCCTAGAAACAAAGAATTAGGTGCATTATAAATGTGAGCAATTATTATTATTATTATTTGGAATACATTGAATAAACAGGTTTATACAACGCCTGCTAAGATTCTTGCAACCTCATTGGTCAATTCTTGATCACATGACATGCGCTAAAAGTACCATTGAACAGCATCATTCTCCAGCCGTGCAACAACAGTTGATCCTTTCGCACCATTGCACTCTAACGTCACTAACGGTGTACAAAGTATATTGTGAGCTAAGTGAAGTCACTGTGCAATGGTGCGAATGGATCAACAGAAATTGCACTCCGCGTAACAATAAACATAAAGCATGGTACGCCTAAGGTGCGCGCATGGTTTGCTGCCTGCTTAATAATAGTGCGCGCTCACTATCAGCAATTTCATCAATAAAAAAACAAACAAAATAGCTGAGATTTAGGCTTAGAAAAACTGATTCTTTAAACAAAAATTGTTTAAATCTCGTTAACGTCCGACGTGTTGTATAAAACAAATAGTTAATAGTCTTTATTCGTGCAATGGAACAATATTTTGCATTCGCTGAAAGATGAGACGCTCCATTCAACTCGGCTGCACTTCGTTGAATAAAGCGTCTCTTATCTTTCACCTCGTGCAAAATCTTGTACCATTGCACTCATGGCCATTCACTATTTGTATATTATTCCACAACCCAATGTCAGTCTCTGTCCGTCCCTGAATGGAGTTCTTACCATGAGTCTAGCGCTCTCTGTCAGGAGGTACATGAGGCCTTCCACCCCATGTTTGACCGTCTCTGCATCGACGTTCAGCTTCTCTGAGTGACACGAAAGGCACAGGAATTATTCAAGGGCTACACTGATTACCTTCTCTTCCTCAAACTGACAACAACGATGATTTGGAAATCTGTCATTATGAGGACATTAGAGTACTGAAGCTGTGACGTCTTAAAAAATCTATTTTTAGAATTTCTCAATTTTTTCTTCATATTCCGAAAGAACACCCAAAATAATGTCCAAATGTCGAAACCAACTGAATATGTTAAGTACCGTATTGGCCGAGTTATGACCATCTGAATGAATATATGTCCTATGGGAACTCAGTGTTATATGCTCTGGCTCCTATACCATTAGGAGCCAGAGCATATAACACTGAGTTCCTATGGGGAGTATTTTCATTCAGATGGTCATATCTCAGCCAATATTTAACATGTTCAATTGGTTTTCGACATTTGGACATTATTTTGGATGTTCTTTCGGAAAATGAAGAAAAATTGAGAAATTCTAAAATTAGATTTTTGATGACGTCACAGCTTGTGTACTCTATTGATTACCTTTTTCTTCTTCAAATTGACAACAATGATGATTTGGAAATCTGTCATTATGAGGACAATGGGACTTTGAATATTTCCTCGGTATATCTTGTTATATCAGGGTAAAACAAAGAAACAAGAACATAAAGAACTGGGACCAGCAAAATTATCTTGTTATATCAGGTATCTTGTCTTGAGTGCTCTTCTTAACAAATCTCCACTGCATTTTTTCTTTTATTGCTGCATTGTTATATCAATACTAAGTCCCAAGTATGCATATGCTGAAAATTACATGCATGGATAAGAGCTATATCAACACTAATATCTCCTCATCACCATAACTGCATAATGCAATACTTTATGTGATAATGTGAATGGGCAGTGATTCGACATCTGCTGGCAGCCCTATTTTGTTCAAGAGATTGGGTTAGGGTTGCAACTGGGTTTTAGGTTTTGCCTTTGGTTTAACAGGGTTAGGGGTATATCGGGTCCAGGTTTGATCAGGGTATGAAACCGACCATGGAGCAGGGACAGGTGTTGGTGAACTCACAGGGGGCTATAGTATGGGGGTATTGATGCCTTCAAAGACTATTAAATGTGAAATAAAATGAAAGACTTACGTGCTGCACCCTGGTAAACTTTCTGTGCGATACCTTTCCTCATAAACTCAAGAGCAATTTTGCAAAATTCCTGAAGAACTGGATAGGGGAAATAGGAAATAAGACCAAGAAAGAAGGAGAGAAATGCAAAAAGAGAGATAGATAGAGAGAAGTGTGAGATGAAGACAGAGGAAGAGAGAGGAAAACCATTATTCAAAATTTTCAACTTGGAAACCCTAAATGTTTAACAGAGACCAGAGTAAAAGTTGAACAGTCCTTGAATTGGCCAAATTTGCAAATTATGCAAGTAATTTAAACCAACCTTTTTTGGTGTTCGTTTTGAACTTATAGGCATAGGAATTGCGTGGGCCTCCAGAATAACGAAAGTTCTGATATTCTGGCAACCGCCATCTCAAGCTTAAATTTGGGAAGCTTGTGAGGCGTCAAATATCATCATATTCTACCAAACCCAAGTATTACAGTAGACTTTTAATATAAGTAGACAAGTTGTTGCTGTGTTAGCAGTAGGGGCGCTGGTCTGAGAATTTTTTTTTTTGACGCAATTTGTCCGTGTTTACGAGGTTATCCTTGTTTATGCGTACGATCCTCATTCTCTGACCAGAGCCCCTACTGGTTCGTTTAAAGGTGACTGTCCATCTCTTTCCTTGTTTCAGAGTTTCAGTGATTGAATGATTTTTGCTGAGCAGTGCCATATACATTATATATCATTCATGCATGCAAGTTAATCTCCGCCGACAAGGGCCCTTCTTATTGGCCATCGCTGGCTTTCATTCACCCAATGTTATAAGATATTTATGCGAGGGAGGAGCAAGCTTGCGATTTTCCGTTTCATTTGATACCAAAATTATGATATTTCAGTCAAACCCTCTATTCGTCACAATTTTTTTCAGTATCCTTAAAAGGTTAGGTATTTCACTGGTTTTTCAATTTTATGTGTTTGCAATGCCGTGTGTGCGTCATCAGTAATGTGTGAAGTGCGTCACCTGTTTAAAGCAGGACGTGTCAAAATCTCTGGGCGCTTGTTCAGAAGCCTATCCAAAATTTGACCTGTATTTGTAACTCCGGCGTGGAGATACCCTACTAAAACATACCCAAAATGAAGTAAATATTCATTAAATGTCCAAATAAAGATCATGAGTTAAAAGTCGTTTATTACCTGTTTCGTGTCAATTTTCTTGTTATTTTTGGAGTATTTTTTGGAAAAACATTGATATTTGTATACACTTATTCACAGGTTTCACTGCAAACCGCTGCACAATACAAGTGCATACACAGGCGCACATGCACACCCACCCGCAACCACTTGAACCAGCCATCACAGTGTAGATCTACATACTACATGTAAATGGCTGCATGCAAATTAATTTCCTCTCCATCATGTCCACGGCCACGCATAGTAATTAGTAATACTTATCCATAATACTACTCCGGGTTGATCTTATTGACCTGACTGTCCTGAAATATAATTATACCTGCATTGTTTATAAGTAACTTTCTTCATGTAGATCTATAAAATAGCTAACAACAAAACTATCGCGTGGGGCTGTAGGGTAGAATTTTTGTTTTTATTCTTTTCACGCAACCAAGTGAATCTAAGCCATCATCCTCTGCTTATACTTACCACTACTGTCTACGTTAGCGAGAAAGTTTAGATGCTCCTTGTGTTCGTCATCAAGAACCAGCAACATTTTGGTACAATCTTCGGTAAATTTATCAAGAGAAGCAAGTCGTCTCGGTCTTGGTCCGCCTCCCTGTATAGTCTGTCAGTCCAGTCGTAATACTTTCACGTGATCGTAAGGCGACGATATTAAAATCATAATGTCAGATAGTCTAGGTCTAATCAACAAAGTCAGAAGCCATAACAGCAATTCCAAGAACAACAAGTCCAAGGTTCAAGATGCAAAACAGATTTACTTCTGATCTTGTGTACCTGTATACAAATGTTTGAATAAATAAATAAAGGAATAATAAATAATAAGAACGATAATTAAACATAACAATCATTAATAACAATACTGATTTTGATAACAACAATAATAATAACAATAGGCCTACTACTACTATATAATGCTTATAATAATCTAAAAATATAACAATAATAATAATGATTGTGATCCGGGATATATAGTGATAGGCCTAATAGTACTTTTTCAGAGCAATCTTAAAATAGTTGAAATATTTCTGATCATGTGCTGCTCTCAACTAATCAAAAGCCAATCACTTTTGATGTATAAAAATAAATAAAAGTAACAATAATAATGATGATTTTTTTTCTCTCCATAGTTTTCCCTCCATAGGGAATTTATTGATTTTCATTTGAAACAAATTAACAAATGTAGATTCAAGGTAATTTACATTTATAACATAAATTAAATTAGCTTCTCAAGATACAAGTATTGTTGAACTGTTGAGTTAATTATCTTCAATAATTCATTCGTGATATTCATGGAAAGAAAAAAAAATACAGACAAATATCATTTTATGTAAACAAATTCCTGAATTGAAACCATTTTCTTGTGAATTTATTATTTCTACAATTCGAATCAACAATAGGCCTACACTTTTCGTTTTTGAAGTAATTTACAATCGAAACTCTAATATTATCAAAATCGGGCAATTTTTTCTTTATTTTGCAAGTATTCATCATCTGTCGCACCACAATCATTATACAATTCAATGAAAAATTATTTGAATCTCTTAAACCAAAAAAAAAAAATTCCGGTTCCAGTATAAATCCAGTGCTCCAAACTATCCCAAATATGTTTAACATGCGTAAAATCACATAGCAGATTAACTGTTTCAATCTTTTCATTACAAAATATACATTCTTTTCTTGAGACTAAATTCATTTTAAACAGTACATCGTTCGTATATAATATGCGTTGCAAAACTTGCAACTGAAACCATGGTAAGCCCACATCAATGGTACAATTAAATCCAATAGAACAGTATGTTTCCTAACTATCATTCAGATTGAAAATGCATTTCCATGTAAGAAAACTTTTACATGGTCCTTTTCTTCTCTTTAATAAAATTGAATAGATATGTGAACATCCTTTAATACGTTTCATAACAAATGCCATTGTATCTGGAAAAGAGGTTGTGGCACCTTGTTAAAAATTGACTTATTGTTAAACCCTTGTCTAATTGCATCGCATAATCCACGATAAAAAAGAAAATTATTTGAATATTATACTTTTCTTGGAAATGTTCCAGAGAGAAAAAATGTCTCCAAAATATCATTGACAAACGAACTCCCGTTTATACAATTTTGTTATATTTATTTAGCTATTGCCTATTTTAATGGAATCATTATTCCATAAGGGTTGGCAAGAAATGTTATCATAATGCATGTACTATAATTTCCAGTAACCTCGACCTACCCTACAATGATTTAAATTCAAAGATAGTTTGACCAGGGAATGATCGGATCTGTTCCCAGGTAAAATCTCTATTTAATTAACGAGTGACAGTAATTCAATGGAGACCAAAAATAATCCAATCTAGCCGCCTTAAAGGGAGTAGGTTGACGCCATGTACACATTTTTTTCCTGGACATGTAATTTTCTCCATGGGTCTATCAAATCGAAATCATTCTTCATTTGATCGACTTTTTTCTTGGCATTAGGATTATTAAGACGAATATAACTATATGTATCTTTATCAAAATCTTGGACCAAGTTCCAATCCCCACATACAAATTATTGTTAATGGATTATCAAAATCCAAAGCAAGATTTTCAATATCTGCATAAAAACTAACACTGTCGTAATTAGGGCCATACAAGGATACTAATGTAATGCTATATATGTGTAGGTCTAACGCAATACTATAATGATAATGATAATGATATAGATAGTTGTAATGTAAAAAGTAAAAATAATAGTAATTGATAATGAAATAATAATAATAATGATGATGATAATAACAATTAATAATGAAAATAAAAATAACAATAAAAACAACAGCAACAAAAACATATAATAGTGATTTAGCATTTTACGCCATTAATTCCTACCAGGTAGGCCTACCCATGTACCTCGCCTGGGTCGAGTGTGGAAAATGTAGGTCAATGTCATGCCCAAGGACAATTAGTGCCTTACGGGACTCGAACCGCGAACCATGTGATCCACAGTCCGGTGATGTATCCGCTAGACCGCGACACCCAGGCGCGTACACAGGGGGGGGGGGGGGGGGGGGGGGGTGGGGGGGGGGGGGGGGGGGGGTTTTGGGGGGGTTAAACCCCCCCTTTGGTATTTTTTTGTGTGTAACCCCCTAAATTTCCTAAAACCCCTCCTTTTTGGATGTTTTTGTTTTTTGTTTTTTTTTATATATAAAAAAAAAAAAAAAAATATTTCCATGGCTGACCTCAAAAAGATGACCTTACCACCCCTCCCAACGCAGCAAAATGTCAAATTTTCATATTTCGATACCAAAAAAAAAAAAAAAAAATGTCCTCTTACCCCCCCCCCCCCCCCCCCCCCCCCCCCCCCCTTCCTTTGAAAAAAATCCTGCGTACGCGCCTGGCGACACCCATGCCATATTAGTGAGTAACAGTTTTGGCGCAGAAGTATAATTTACTCCAAAAAGGAAAATATTGATTCCCAATTAATAAATCAGTGGAATCGTGTTGGGATGAAGTTATTGTTATGTTTGATCATTCATGTGGTGACGCACAAGGCTATTGAAATAGCTCTCGCTTGATTTAAAAAAAAAAGGTCGTTGCGAACACATTTCCCGGCCCACTTTCAGCGTGATTGATTATGAATATTTCATCCATTCACTTGTTTGTACGCACATTGTACCTAGATACATCACACCGCATATACATGTATTATGAATTTTCACTTGAATTCGCCCATAATAAAACAAAACATTATCACTATAGTTGCATGAACTTTCGAAGTTCGCATTTGATAATTGGCAAGAGAACGGTGTAAAGAATATGTTCATGCAGACTTCGCCGGTTTTCCAATCAGAATGGTATAGTTTCTTTCTTTCTTTCTTCTTTTTTTATGTACTTATGTAATCATTTAAATCAAGATTTTACACAGAGTAGTGAATTTAATTAAATTGAATTTATTTTCTTCTGCAACATACAAATCAAATTACATTTCAGCAATATTACATATTCAAAATATGACAAGATTTTTTAATGTGAATACAATAGAAAGATAAATAAATGATGACATTAAAGCAAATCTAACTGATAACATAATACCAAGAATTATTAAATAAGAAAGCTGGAGAAGGAGAAGGCTTTACAATAAGCGATTGCTTGATAGTGCGATAAGCCCAAGGACAAGGGAAGGGGGAGCGGGTGGGGGGGGGGGGGGTTGATGATTAAAAAAGGAGATACAAAACCGGTGATGTTGATGATGGCGGTGATGTTGATGATGGTGATGATGATAATGACGATGGTGAAAATAAGAATGAAGATATGCTAATGTAAATAAATGCAGGTTATTCATATATTTAAACATGAAGATCAAACTCTGTTGTGCGTTTACCCAAAAAATTGTGGTGGTTTTAAATTCGGGATTCGCGCCTTCTTCCTTGTAATAAAAGTTCTTTAATTATATTTATGTTCCTACGTATAAATTGTATTGTTTGAACAGATGTCAAATACGGGTTAAACTTTGCGGGTTAAACTTTGTTTTGCTAATAGGTGACCTTACCCCCCCCCCCCCCTTATTCAGCGGCTGGCTGAGTCGTTGAGAAATTTTCGGCCCGATTTTAAAATGTTTAAAATTGTCCTTGTCCTTGGGGTAGTTTTCCGGGGTGTTTTTTCCGGGGGTGATTGCCCAGGGGGTAATTGTCCTGATACGGTTGAATTCATATTCATGAAACTAATTTGTATCTTTGTCTTAGTTTTTTCTTGTCGGAATTTTTAACAAATCAGTAATGAATACCGGTATTATACAATATAATTAATAACCACTGATACCCAGTCAGCGTAATTTCTAGTTGTGTTCTGGATTAATTAGCTTGGTGATTTTAGGCATAGATCGGGGGGGGGGGGGAGGGGCTATGGAATCATCCCCCAATATTATGCAAATATTTATGACAAAATGCTCACCGTAAATATGAGTCTATACACAAACAAAACAATGTATCAATCATACTCGCAGGTCCATTCTTAAATGTTATAATTATTATCAATAAACAGAAATTCATAAAAGCCGACCCCTTCCCCCCAAATCGTACATTCCAAAATGTTGATCTTGAGTGACAGTCAGTTCAATCGAAGTTCGATCGCTGACGCTGACAGGGGCTAGTACAATAGCAATAGAGTATACAGGCAGGCCTTATTTTCAAGTAATTCTCGCCACCGGGAGGTTTGGGTGTCATCGCGGAGTTTTCCCTACAAGACAGTGACCAAGATTCGTAAGCTATGAATGCAAGGGTAAGTGGTAAATAAAGGCTTGTTATGTTTTCTGGAAAATCATGCATAACGATATACTTGGCAATGTGATCGTTCATGCTGCCAATCTTATTTTAAAAAATCTAATTGATAGTCGATGAAAAATCACAGGCCTAATTATTTAGCCCATCATTTTAGATCTTAGTATTGCTCGATCTTGTTTGAGATGGCTTGGTAAAAATAATACTTATTTCGGACTGGTGGAGACCTATTTACGGCTTTGGTTACCTTTGAGGCTTTGTAGTGATATAGGATAAAATATGGTTCTAGGACATCTACCCACTGGACATCAACCCCCGGATAACCACCCAAGTAAACTACTCCCTAGGACAACTACCTCCTAGGACAACTACCCCCTAGGACAACTACCCCCTA